GTTGGAAGCCGCCCAATAATAATAATAATAATAGTAGTAGTAGTATTAGTATTATATTCGCATCTTACCAGGGACCCTAAACTCCCAACACTTTCCCAACACTTTGGATTTGCACATTTCCCTACATATGGATATGTTTGTATAATCTGAGAAGTCGCCCTCAGTTCTGCGATGGTGCATTTTATTCTAGTTAGCAGCGATGCAATTAACACATTTGGTGAGGATGCTTCTCTACTAGCATGAAGTTCATTAATCTCTAAAGAATGCAAATCCCTTTATTTGGACCTGATCTGGATTAATTTATCAAACCAAGCAGACAGAGCAAGTTGTTATCCTTTGTGGAGGCTAGCGATTAGATCTATATGTATGGGGGGGTGAGGGCTGTCTAATCAGTCTCTTTATACCACAATAATAAATATTATAACCTTCTTTGCTGTATGTTTTTCGAGCTGTGCAATCTGTCAACCAGTTTATCTTCACTAATTAGGCTGAGGGCTTTGGGGGATTTATGTACTGTAACTCCTTAGTCTCTTTTTCCTGATTAGCACCACATTTACATTCATGAATCGCTGCTGCTAATATATTTTGTGTATTTTTGCTTATAGGCTATAGTTGTGAATCAAACTATTAGAATATGTATCCACTTGCAGTAAATTCTGATGTCATCTTTTTGAATTGTATGCTGGGGCACTTCACTTTTCTATGTTTCTAATACTGATAGTGATTGAACTAAAGTAGATCATTCTTATATTTACTCATCATGTATCATTCTTATTGTTCACATTTCTGAGAATCCAGTATACATGATAGAGGGGCAGGCATATCCATGGTCCTTCCCCTATATCTACAAGGCACCATGAGGAGTAGGCCTGTCCTTGGAGGATATTATTATTATTATTATTATTATTATTATTATTATTATTATTCTTGCATCCTTTCATCTAAAAAAAGTGTGTTAGTGGGAGGGTTGATGGATATTTAAAAATGGTTCCCCTGGTGATTAATTTCATTAGTTGTATCCAGTCTTGTCTGTCCTGTAAAGCCATGACTATAAAGGCCTGGGTCACCTGACAGTACTGGATTCAATATGAGCTAAAACAACTAGTGCGGATATTAATATTGTTCAGCATGAAGCAATTGGATGCATAAAAACTGAATCCTTTTGGAATAAAAATTGTCCAGACCCATAATTATTCTTCAAACCAAAACTTCTTCAAAAACAGGTACAAGAACATCAATGATACATCTAGAAAGTTGTATAAATCATATGCATATGGAAGCATAGATTCTTTTTCTTAAATATATAACATAATTATGATCAGAGCTGAAATAAATGTTCTGTCTCTCCCATAGTTTGCATAGCCTGCATCCAGCCTAAGGCTATGCAGTTCCTGGAGAGGCATCTTACCAACTCTTTCTCTGACTGTGCCTAGGAACAAAAGGCAAAGGCAACTACCTTCAAAATGGTGAATTTGTGATTAAAAACCTTAGTCACATGTTCTAAGGTTAAACACTCAAGTGAATGCTAGCAGAGAACACCAGTGGAATTTTCCACGGTCAAACCCTTAGCAACATGCATACAGGCATTCTCCATTTCTGTGTGAAATTAAACAATTATACTTAACAACTTCATTTGGGGAAATAGGTATCATTGATATGCATTCTGTCCAAAATTTCATAGGTATATACTAGTGTTACATGTATTGTCTTACCAAGATATGCTGTGCAAGGCACTACCATCTTTGAATAGTGCTGAAGGTTCTACAGCTCTGTCCTATGTTCATTACCATGTGCTTCAGCGATTAAACATGTAAGCAGGCAATGGTGGCCCTAGAGTTTCGGAGCCCTTGGACAAGAACTCATTTGGGGCCCCTTAAAGGTATTAAAGCAAGTCAGGCATAAAATTTCACTTAATTCTATACAGGAAGCTGCAATGAAAGCATAGATAAATGCCCCACAGCACATTCTTTGAGGTCATTTTTTATTGCACCTGGAGTGGAGAATATTACTGAATACATTCCATCAATACTACACTGTAAATATATGAGTACAAGCCATAAACAAAAAGAAATAACTCTGGAAATGGGACTGAGACCTCAGCAATAAATCTTGTAACTTCAAAACTGCATCTGACATTTATTGTGTCAGTTGCCCTTGAGTTCAGTACTTTTCTCCCTAAAGTTTCCAGCACAGGAGGAGCAGCTGGTTCAGAACCCTGTCAAGTGGTGGGTAGTAGAGGGGCTGCCAATGCCCTCCCTCCACCATCTACATCAGCACAAGAGCAGTGGGGGAAAGTTAGATGTCAGGTGGTTGAAACATATGCAGCTTGAACTGGGTAATTTTTGAATTTGAAGCCTTTTTCTGTCTCTTGGGGTGCGTTCCTGATTCTTCCTTTGCAGCCACAGTTTGAATTCCTCTTATGAACTTTCTCGTCTTGTGCACACCTGAAGTCATATGATGGTCAAGCATAGGAAAGGTGGATTTGGTTCACCCAGGCAGCCTGTTGGCCAACCACAAAGGCTTGGCTGGCCTGCTTTGGCCCATGGGCCCAAAGTTGCCCACTACCGACTTACTTGATACCTCTAGGGCTAGAGAAGAATGGTCCACATTTTTAAGTGACCTGATCTAATTCAAATTTTCCAGACAAATGTACAGATCAGAACATAATTAGCCTTCAGTTTTCACACTTCCCCAATTTTGTGATATAGTTCTTGAATCAAGAAAGTACCAAGAAGCATTTTAAAATTTTGTATTTAGGATAAAATAAGTTTTTAAAGCATTCACATTGAGATAAAATGGTATATTTAAGTACATATTTTGTGATAAAATGGGTATTTAAGTACATATTAAATACAAATTTACATATGAATTCCCAAATATATATATTAAAAATTCAAATGGAAAAAAGAAATGGACTTATGAATAAGTACATGTGAAATTGATGTGGACCAGAATAAACTGACCCTTCCATCCCTAGAAACCATTCATAGGTTTTTGGTGTTGTAGAATTCTTTGAACAATCATTTGAGTTTTCACAAGCTTCCATTCCTTGTATATTGTCTCTTTCCTAATTTGAAGCTACCTTTCTTTGTGAGACGAAAAAACAAAACAAAACCTGTTCTCTCTTAGATGTTGGACATACGGAAATGCATGTGGTTAGTATATAAACACCTCTAGGTTATAAGAAACATACAATTAAACCCTTGAATGATAATGAACAGATGCTTCCCTTGCACAAATTATTTTCTGTACCAAACATAGGCTGGCTTGAAGATTTTATCAATTGTAAGAGTTTATCATTAAATTGAGAGAAAAATGCAACCTACCTTGACAGTATCCCATCTGGTTATCTTCTCTTCTTGGTGTTTACCTTTTGTGAGCTGCTTGCTTATTCTATTTAACTGATTCCCTCCCCGCCGGCAAAGGGAAAACATAAAGCAAGATGGGCATGTGGCTTCTTTTCAGTCTTATAATAAACAACCAAGGAATGATGTGCTCCTGATACAGAATATTCTCCAACCAATCAGAAGTCTCTTTCATCGTATGCTGTTGTAAGGCCAGAACTTCTCCGGGATTAATGGTACATAGGGCTAATCTTAGACCAATTTCATGCCTTGTGTATTTGACAGAACACATGGCTAGCTACCATTTACTCAGATGGTAATGTAGTGGCATGAAGCCAGAGCAACCTATTTTCCTTCTACTGCTGCATGGCCGTTTTACTAATACAGTTGCTGAGGTTTCCAAGCACACAGAGAGCCATAGGTTACCAGATTTCAAAACAGAAAGGGTTTCTCATCGTTTAGTGTTCTGAAACTGAGCCACATTTCCAAGGAAGCATTTCCCTTCCATTGCAACACAGTAGCCCTATCCATCCTTTTGGGGCAAATGCATGTGGGCATAAAGTTGAGAGAGGCTTCATGAAAAGAAGCATTGTACCCAGCATGCACTGGCTCCACTTCAAGTCTTCCTGTTCACAGCATGGGAAGCTGAATATGCCTATATATGTTTGAATGCTAATGCGTAGCATCTTCTCTGTGGCCAGGTACCCTGACAACAAAGGGTTTCTGATTGCTGGAAGGATTCTAAGTGTGACCACCTGAATACACTTAGAAACGCCTTTGGACTTCCATACTGAATGCAGGTAGGCCTGACGTGGAAGCAGTGTGTGCTAGGACATTAGTGAATAGGCTTTTCAGTGGCCTTTAGCCATGCTAACTCAATGGACTCTCCATATTCAGAAGTTGTGTACCTCTGAATACCAGTTACTGTGGCCAGTCATTGCCTTCACTGTTGACTTCCCAAAAGTCTGGTATAGTGGGAAGCATGATGCTAATGCAGCTGCCCTCTTGTTTTGATCCAGAAGACTTCTCCTTATGCTTCTGCTGTGACTACATTGACCATGTGAAAGCACCATTAGTGTGTGTGGACATTGTACATACTAGCAGCTCTTATCCCAAAGTAAAGTGACTTTACTCCAAGAGTCTAAAGTGGTTTCCACTCTTGTTTGCTGTCGAAATGATGTTCTTACTTACCAGTACAGAGTTGCTTTCAACCACAGCTTAGAAATGTAGGGTTGTATATATGTAAATTCAGGTGACCATTTTATAGAATAACTGAACGGATGGAGCAAATTTGTTTTCTGTTGCTCCTCACCCAAACCAATGGATTCTAATAAAAATAAAAATTCTTTAGACTAAAGATTAGGAAGAACCCTTGGATGGTATAAGCTGTTTGGCAGTCGAATAGGTTGCCTCGGAAAGTAATGGATTCTTCTTTATTAGCTGTTTTTAGGAACAGCAGCTGGATGACTGCCTATCAGGATGCTGTAGTTGCTGTAGGTTTCTTACACTGGCAAAAGGTTGGACTAATTCCAGCTCTATGAATCCAAGAGTAAAAAACAGTGAGCTGAAAAAAGATAGTTTCTTGTGTTCCATGGGCTTTAAATACTTAATGATCCCACTGATCAGGACTTAGGTTCATTTATATGTTTCTGGACTGGACCTAAAGTTTGTAATGTCTTTGATACACACCACTGTATGGCTGCTTTATACATTCTTTGGAACACACAGATATATATGTCAAACAACCATATAAGCTGTTATTCCCACCAGGGCTGCAATGTGATACCCAGGGTGGATATCTCAATATCTCTTATTTGGTCTGTGGAGATATGCATGCCATTGCTCAGTGAAACCAAGTATAGTGGTTTTATATACAAAACTGCTGGGCTAAAGCAATATTGGGGCAGGCAGGTACACAATCATAACATTTTTTTAGATTTTATATGCAGGGACAGCTTAAGTTATTTTGCCACCTGAGGCAAAGCAGAAGATAGTGCTACTTTCCCGTTCAATGTATGGAAGCTGATCAGATTGGTGCTGCCACAGCACCTGCGGGCAACAGGCAAGCTTAGAGGGCACAAGCCCAGACCACATGGCACACACAGCTCTGTACTCCAAGATCTTGTCATCCCTCAGTAGCTGCTGCCTGAGGCACCTGAATCACTCTACCTAATGGAAGGATTTGTATGAGAAGCCTATGGGTTATGTTTCATAAGAAGGGTACAGGGTGAGAGTGGAAAACTTCCATTTCCCAAACATAACCCTGAGCTCTACTGCATTAGAACAGATTTGATTTTAGCTTCATGCCTATAGGCTTAAATACTCATGAACTAAATAAGAACATAGTTCAAGCAGAATAGAAGAAAGTGTCGTGGCAATAAGCCAGCACACCTGCTACCTCTGATTCAAAATCTACTTACCCTGGGAATAAGGCACAATGAATTCGATAGAACTTACTTCTGAGTAGACATGGCTGTTATCAAAGCTGAATTCCATCTTTCACTTGATTGTCTTCCAAGGCACAGCCTTGATCTGTTTCCTTATTGAGATCAAGTTCCTGGTTTTTCCGAAGAAAGCAAACTTCTGAAATCAAACATCCATTGGTATTGAGAGGATTCTAACTTTGAAGTGACTTCTCATATATAATTGTGGGGTGTGGTTTCTGTCCTATAAGCCAGATCAGTGACAGAGTTGACCCTTGCTTGCTTGACCCAACATAGTTACTCTTAATGGAATAAATGTAACACCCTCTCCAGTTTTGATGTAACACAAATTAAGCACATTGAAATCAAGATAACTCTAGACTAGTAATTCACCATTTGAAACACAGTAAGAAATTACTTAGGAGCTGCATAATTTATGTTGATCAGTTTTCAAATATATCCTTTTTCATAATACAAAATGAAGCATAACTAATATGAAGACAATCCACATGACTGAACATAAGTGATATTGACTGTAATAATAATGTACAGCAATAGGAAACTGCCCTGGTGCATATCTGTTCTATTTTCCCACCAGATGCTTTAGTTTTTTCCAACCAAGTTTTGTCTAGCATCGGTTCCATCAAACAAAAAAGTTTCCATACACCTGCATAACTGAAGAGTTGATATCAAGGTTGTAATGCCATTAGGCAGGGTGAAGTGATTCACCTCCTGGCATTAGATAGGGTTGAAAATAAAGGGCAGCAAATATCAGTTGTGCAACATCAGGCACACACATGCTAGTGCCATTTTGATCTTCCAACTCCCACACTGCAATCCAGTGCATATCTACTCAGACGTAAGCTGCACTGATTTCAATGGGACCATCCCATGCTTGCTAACTGATGCTTGCTAGAGTTATAGTTCAGCAGCATCTGGAGGGCTAAACGTTCCCCACATCTGGGCAAGAGGTTTTCTAGCCCTGTACTAGCTTAGTAAGTAAAGCTATGTTATGTGGGATGAAGCATTTTGTCTTGGTACAGTAATAAACCCATCCTGTTTTGTTGTTTTTTGTAAAATGCCGATTCCCTTGTAAGTTTTGGGGACTCCTAGAATATCTGTTGCAGAGCAGGATTTAGAGTCAGCTTTCAGAGCCTCTTAAGTTATTAAATTCTAGGATACAAAGGCAGACACAGAGCAAGCCACTAGGAGGCATCTGATTTTAAAAATAGCAGCCCCTTCTAGGAAACTGATAGCCAGCTATGATATCCAAATAACCTAACATCCATATTTGAAATATTTTTAAAGTCCTGGCATATCCACCCACAGAGCACCAATGATCTCTTCCGTAGTTTGAGTACAGGTAGTGGGAAATGTTGCTACTCTATTCGCACATTGCTTGTTTCCTTTTGGCATTTAGAGTTCTGTAGTTGTAGCTATTAAAATCCCAACTATGCAATTCTAAATCACTGCCCTGGCTTTTGTTAGTTCTTTCCGCTTTATATTTTCTACTGATGAACTTTGAAAGTCACTAATAGCAACCTCATCATGATCATTTTTCCCTTTGGAGAATTTAATACAAACAAGCATGCTAGTGCAGGGGACCAGGCTGGTGGTCATAGGGATGGAGGGCTCTGCGTTTTCTTCTCAGAGGCTCCTGTTCTAAGCCCATTGAGAAAACCCAGTTTCACCCTATAACCTACTCAAAGCTCTGGGAACAGTTCAATTTAGAAAACGAATAAATGCAATTTGCCTATTTCCCAAAGAAAACAGGCATAATCATGCAAGCACAAGTTGTCATTGGGGCTAGCCTGGAAAATGTGCATATGTGGCACATTCTGGCAATGTCTGAGTAGCTGCTCACTTGGTGATGCCATAGCTTTGACTACACACATCAGCAAATACTACCATTCTGTCTGTGAGGAGACAGGTCCCTATGGCAGTTGCCTTTCAGACCTGAACATCTGAAATCCGCTTTAATCCAAAGGCACCTCTGATGGTGGAGAGAGAGATGAGACTCCCGATAATGCTTACCAGAATTGGGAAGCAGTTACACATGTGTTCAATTGTCCATTCTAATCTATCTGATTTTAAAGCATTTAATTGCATCTGTAATCACATCCGTAATGACAAATTCAGCCTGTGTGTGTGTGTGTGTGTGTGAAGGCTGTTGAGTTATAACAGCTACAGTAGTGTAATATCAGCAAGAATAGAAAAGTCGGCCCCATGTGGTAAATCCTCTGGCCTTGGTGTTTTTGAGCTCCTGCAGAACACAGTTGAACACCCATAAAAGCCATACTTTTGCTTTTCATGGCAGCTACCCAATAGGCTACCTTGTCAAGAAAGGACTCAGAGATGTTGGAAGTTCCCTGAGGAGTAATTAGGTTTCCCCAAGCAGTCTTTTCCCCAGCTTTCATTCACTGATCAGATCCTTCCCAGCAATGACACTTTTTTTTAATATAACAACAACAACAGCAAAAGAAGAACCTGCCTCATTATGCTTGACAGAGCAGATACTAACTTATTCTGAAGCAGAAATGATCGTAACAAAACTGATGGGAAATTGCAAACATGTAAAAGTGTGTGTGTGTGTGTGTGTGTGTGTGTGTGTGTGTGTAAGACACATAAATCAAAATGTACAAAGACATTTTAATGCCCTTTTAAAAAGCATAAATTTCCTTTTAGAGTCCCCGTCTGTTACAGAAGCCTATTATCTGATGACAGGTATGATGATTAACATAATAGACACTAGTAAAATTTTCTCCAACTTCTTTGAAAATGTTAACGTACAGCTTCAAGCAAAATGTGTTTTTTTAAAAACTGGATTTTGTTTCTGGTATGGGACCATTTGCCCAAATGAAGTTAACAGATTTGTATCTAAACCATCTGTTGGTGCAAACGCATTAGAATGTGAAGTCACGTATAGGAAGCCTCAGAGACATCTTCTGACTGCTATACATAAAAGAAAAAGAAAAAGGATGCTCTGTCTTTCCCCTCTTCTGTCTAAGGTCCAGCTCACCAGAGAGCCAATTCAGACCAATTACCTTGTCTTTGTCAACAAAAATACTCTAGTTTCCAGAGTTCTCTGGGCATAGAGGTTAAGGTCCCAGAAAGACAAAATAATAAACAAATTCATTTCAAGAATCAGAGTTGTGTGCTTGGCTGGGAGGATATGTTTGAGAAAGGTTATTTCCTTTTAGATAAACCTCCACAGGGAATTACACTCACAGCAACATCCACTTTTGCTTTCTTTTTAAATGCAAAATCCAAATGGAACACTCTAAAGTTAAAAAATAAAAATAAGCAAATGCAAATAAGGTAATGACCTGCAACTACAATTCTTTGAGTTGCAGGATGTCCACTTTGGATAAAAAATCTTGAATACAATTTCAGAGTTGGTACAATTTTGGACTAAAGTAGATGTGATGTTTTGTCATGTAGTTTGGTCTTGCATAGTTGCTTTTTCATTAAACAATAGCTGGCATGGTGCAGGGGGTGGGGTGGGCGGTTATCGTCAACAAACTGGATTGCTCCATGGTCCTGACTGCAATCAGATTCCCCCCTCCCTGTACAGACACACTTGCAACTTGTAATGGAAAGAAATCCCATTGCAAACAATATGGATGGGAAGTGAGGGGTTGGTTCCATTTGGAACTATGGCAAGAGCAAAAGTTCAAAGCTTTCTGCCTCCAACTCATAGTCCAGATCCAGCGATTGGCCCTGCAACACGGTTTTTCTTTAACCAAACTCTGTGACCAATCACGTAGCATGTCCAGAAGCATGTTGGGTGAATGTGGAAGGGGAAGTGAGCTGCGCAGTCTTGTTTTGTCTCTTGACATCTTGTACAGCGACTAGTGCCATCCACTGGTGTTCATGCATACGTACAGCAAATACTTATCATAGGATCATTAGTGGTCAGTTTGGTGCATAAGCAGCTGCCCCCCCAACACTGGTGTCCCTGCAGCTTACTTGAATGGGGACTAGGGTGGGGTAGTGGTGAAGTTTGGGCTGCACAGACGCACTGGTGGCAGGGCTGGATTGGTTCCACTGGTGCGTCCAGGTAACCAAGCTTCTCCCTAGAACCACTTAGATAAGTTGCAGTGACGCTGGTGTCAGAAAGGTGTCTCTGGCCCTCTACACTAGCCAGGGCCAGATTTAGGTTTGAAGAGGCCCTAAGCTACTGAAGGTAATGGGACCCTTTATATGTCCAGTTGTTCTTTGTCAACAACAAATTGTCGCTGTTTTTTGTGTTGAATATATGCTATATGGTAATTTATGGACCTAATGCCATTTGCACATAACAAAATATGTATTTTATCAAAGTAATTGATACAGAAATGAGCAAACCAGTGATATTTTAGGGAGCAGGCTAGCAAGTGGGGCCCAGCCCATTACTTACATCACAGGAGCCTACACAACACAAAGCACTGTTGCTGTATGTAAGTTTTATTTTATTTGTTTTTTATCTTATATTTTGGAAATGTACATCCAGGTTTTTTTCCCTTTTAATTTTTTTGGGGCCCCCCAAGAGAGTGGGGCCCTAAGCTATAGCTTGTTTAGCTTATACGTAAATCCGGCACTGACTGATTCCATTTAGGAAGCAAACTTGATTTAAATTTACCCCTCTCCTGCAAATCTTTTCCCCACCCGTTTCCAGCATCTTGAGACTGTAATCAGCACATTATTCAGATCTATGCAGAGAAAGGGGGCATTTTTTCTTCCTGTGGAAATGGTACTGCATGGAGATCAGCTCTATCAAAATCGTACAAACCAAATGTTAGAATGGGATGGGGGGGGGGGAATAAGGAGAAGTGAAACTTGACATCCCCATTGAAGGCTGCAGTTGTAAACAGTGGTACCTCGGGTTACATACGCTTCAGGTTACATACGCTTCAGGTTACAGACTCCGCTAACCCAGAAATAGTACCTTGGGTTAAGAACTTTGCTTCAGGGTGAGAACAGAAATCGTGCAGCGGTGGCGCAGCGGCAGCAGGAGGCCCCATTAGCTGAAGTGGTGCTTCAGGTTAAGAACAGTTTGAGGTTTGAGGTTAAGAACGAATTCCAGAACGAATTAAGTTCTTAACCCGAGGTACCGCTGTACTCATTTCTCTGGGACTAAGCCCCATTCAGTCGAAGTAAGTCCTTTTGATTTTAGTGGTATGCTTACAATTGTAGCTCAACCCTGTGCTTGTTTATAAGTTTCAGTGGGCTGTTACAATTATATGCATAAGATTGCAGCCTCATTTTTGGCATCTGGTGGTGGCAGCACTTCTCTTCTTCTGTAAATTTCTAAATTCTGTAATATAATTCAGGTTTTTCTGCCTATTTAGATTAAGAAAAGATTTCTTACTTTGTGAATTGTTGCACAGAGACAGTGTTTGAATTATGGGGTGAAAGGTATGGTGGGGGAGCTTTAGTGAAAGCCATAATTTCCAGCCAATTCTACCTAAATTGAGTCTAATGAATTGAACCCCCTAGACTTCCAAAACTACGTAATAGGTAAAAGATCTTGTAACAGGGCCAGGGTACCGCCCCCCCAAAAAAACAATTCATGGAGATATGATAATGCTTGGGTGTTGAGATCTCAGCCATATTAAAAGATATACAAGGGAAAATGTCTCAGTGCTGCAGAAGCAGTCATCCAAGGTAAACACATCCACTGTACATCTTTCTTTTATGAAAATTAAAATCATTATCATCTTTTGACATGGAAGGATTTTGCTCCATGACTACAATTATCAAAATGTCCATGTCTGATGCATTCATCTGCCAGGCAATCTGGAGAACATTGGCCCTCTAAGGGTTACAACATTACAATTGTTCTTTGCAAATAAAATTCACATCTGTTCTGACAACTTATTTCAGCCTGATGCAACTTGAAAAGGTCGAGATTAATCCCAGAAAATCAGACTTCTATTGGAAAGGCCAAATCAACTTTAATTGTAGCACATTGCTATTTATATTGACATTTAGCCACAGCGGAGCATTATTCTTTTCATTGCTAATGTTTGTTTTACTCCAGAATCTCTGTGATTGCTTATATTTGATGCTAAACTGTGCTTTATGTTGCATAACTTAAGCAGCTTATATACAGGTAGTTTAAGGTTAGTTTCACTGACCGAGGATATTCCATGCATATGTTTAAGAAAGATCTGTGCCTGGCTTTTATATGCTGTGTGCTGGTAATACATTACCCACCTGTGTTTAACTTTGCCAATAGAGTGTGCAGCAGACGGGTATGTTCTGAGCAAGCATAAGGTATATATGAATAGGAGCCCAAATACCATGAAACTAGTTCCATAAATCTAAGGGGCTTTAGATTTGTCCCACCCCCTTGTTTGTTGGCAATCTGCTTTAGAAACTTGAGGAGCAGTATGATCCCAATTTACTCAGAAGTAAGTCCCCAAATCGGTGAGGCTTAATTGCGGGTAATAAGGCTGCACAGGATTGCAGTCTGAATTTCAAAAGCAGACTGTGGGTGTGTCAAAAAGAACAAAGAAAGTGTCAAAAAATGCACTAGCTTTGCTCAAGTCTATTGCATGAATCTAAGCAGCTCCATGAATCTCAAACTATATGTTGTTATTGCTTTAAGCCCCTTGCATGAAACAGTTACTCACTGTGGTTTTTCTGACTTTTTAAGGAAAGAAACAGCACAACCACATTCGGCAGAGGGAACCTGAGTTTCAAATACCATCCTAACCACCTACTGGCTTCCGGTACTTGTTATCTGCTCAGCCATGAACTGAAAGTTTAACTTTCGGTCAGATAAAAGACTCTCAGTTGGCAATACCTTGCTGTTTAGCCTGGAGAACAAGAATACTCAAAATGGTGTAAGGGTGCTTTAAGTAACAGCTGGCAAGCAACCACGTCTGAGCCTTATACTCTGATATGACATGCACTTGCAGGAATGTTGCCAAATGCAGCTGCTAGACAGCTTTAACAAGTCAATTCTAATCTTAGCAAGTCAATATTAATCTTTGCCAAATTAATATTTGCCTTGACAGCCCACCAGGACAATTATGCTTGGTTTCAATGTAAATTTGAATTAAACGATGAACCCTTTGTTCTGGAATAGACTGGAGCTACGTACATTTGGGAGCCAATGTGGTGTAATCCTCATTGAACCATGACACTTACTGGGTGACCTTGGGCCAGACACTGCCTCTCAGCCTAACCTACCTCACAGGGGCACTGTGGGGATTAAATGAGGAGGAGAAACCACGTACACCAACCTGAGCTCCTTGAAGAAAAAGATGAGCTATTAACATAACAAATACACAGTAAATGCATGTTACCTTATGGTCCGCCTCATGTTTGCTGGTCCAACGTTTAATTTTCTAAACCCCTTTTAAAATGTAGCATATCATGAATGAATTGATGTTCCAAGTATGAAGTCCTTGGCAAAATGTGATCACCAGTTAATATCAATTTGTGCTGATGTAAATAAAAAGTGGTGGGTTTCTTTTCATTTAGCAGCAACCTTGACAGAATTCTAAAATGCCAACAGTAAAGTTTGGGAATTTTTCTACTTCCATAAAAGGACTACATTTCACTTATGATTTAGCATGCCTGAAAATAGAAAAATAACCCTGCCAAGGAGGATACACTGTGCCATGTGTAGTGATAAGAGGATTACAATTTTTATTTTTTTTGCCAGAAGTCCTGTAACATTAAACCAGTGCTCTAAGATAAGTGATGAACCTTGATGAAATCCTTTGCCAGCATTGGGTAAATGTTTTACTGGTTCCTGTGCATTCCTGCCCATGTTTGCCTTTGGTGAAATCAACCACATGCGCTGCTTCACACCTGGCAGGATACTGCATGAAAACCCCCAAAGTCCCAAGTTGTCAGTGTTGATGACAAACATTTTCATCTCTCCTTACAAATGTTCTGTTCTAGCATGGGGGGGGGGGGACAAGAAATTTTCCACACCGGGTACCAGCTGACCTTGCTACGCCACTGCATGCTGGGTCTCTTTATTTGACATGCATATGTGTAGCATTGGGTACTGAAATTTGAAAGGGTTGCTAGCCTCTTGTATAATTTGTGGACATCTTTCATATAACTATACTATTTTCATGGCTGCAGTTTGAAATATATGTTTTAGTCCTCCACCTATCATTCAAAATATTTTACCAGTGATGCAATATTTAACATGCAAAATGCTTTAAATGCATGGTGCTTTCCAGAAAGGATATCCTAAGCTTGATAACATGGGTATGGCTGCAATCTTATACTCACTTCCAGATACATAAATTCAGTAGGACTTATTTATGGGTAGCTAAATATAAGATTGCACTGTATAGAAATCATATTTAAAAGTGGTTGGTGTGCAAATATGCACTTAGTCGGACATTTAGGTGAGTATTCAGGATGTTATTATAAGGGCAGCTGATTGCTCTAGGCAAGTAAATAGCGACTCTCATTTTCAAGACTGCTATTTTGATCTCTAGGCTGGACATTTGCCTGTGCAGTTATAATGTGAAATAGCACATTGCACTAATCAGGCCAAATTTCCACAGAATGTGTGTTAGGGAACAACCACTCATGCAGTTATGTAATGTCCATTTGCTCTATGGAAACATGACTAAAATACCTCCAAGCAGTGTAAAGGGGTGAGGTTTTAACCTCCAGTATATACTTGAACAGCAACACCACCACACAGAAGTTCTTTAATTATGACATACGTTTTATTGACATTGATATTTGCTTCTAGTTTGAACCTTGGTTGGCTACTGAAATTAATAAATGGTATTCTGTGACAGCACAGCCTCTCTAGCAAAGATATTGATAACACAGCACTCTCCCATCAAATCCTGTTGAAGCTGATTCCCATAACTGCCAACTGCTTCTCTCTTTGTAGAATTATTCTGAGTGGGAAATGAAATTTTACTATAACAGAATTTAATGGGAAATATTAGCTAATTGTTAGTGCTGGTTTATTTCTAAAGTACTCAACATAGAGACTATAAAACCGTGAATGTAATTGTGACTTCCTATATGGATTCAAGACAAGAAAATTAGAACTCAGCTATAGCCATTTGAATAATCACATCTGATCTGCATTATTTATTAGTTATTACATGCTCAAGTGATTCAAGTTTGTACATTGCCTAATTTCATTTCAAAGCAAACATAATGTACTTTTCAGGCATTTTACATCTTTTTCTTTTGGACTGGATTAACACAATATCTCTATTTCACATATGAAATAGAAGCCAGCTGATTCGCAATTTAACCAGTACAAGTTTGCCACCCTGAGCATCCCTTAAGATGAGAATACTAGATTTTCCCAAACAGGAGATATGAATTGCCTGGCAGAGCTTGTAGCCAAGAGTAAGTGGACAAAAGGAAACAGAAATTGCACCAGCTTGCTCAAAACATAATTTGATGCTCTGTTTGGATGGGGAGAAGGAGAACTCTTAAGGAAACAAAGATAGGGTCCAAAAATTAAGAGTGCTACCTTCAATGTTAATTGGAGAATGATTGGTTAACTCTGTCTCTGGCATAGTCAATATACAGACGGGAGAACTGGCAGTGTTTGACACACCTACAACATCCCTTATTCATCCCTTCCTAAGTAGGCCCATTCCCATTTGGAGGACCGTGGATGGATTCATCTCAGAATGGGTTATTCATTAACTATTCATGTTCTAAACCAAGGGGTAGCCAATGTGGTTCCTCCAGATAGTATTGGACTACAACTTTCATCATCCCCAATGTGACTAATAGTCAGGGTTTATGGGAGCTGTGGTCCAATATTATCTGGAGGGTACTATGTTGGGCTTCCCTTAATCTAAGTGGTAAAAATACTCAGTTTTGGCCTCTCTTAATCACTATTCTACTCTTGGGCCATTCAGTGGTTACTGAAGAATTTAGCCCTGTTCTTGCTACTTCCTACTCATAAAAATTATGACCTAGCCCTTTTTGCCTTCATAACTGAAGTATTTTTTGGTAACTTTACATTTTGGTTTCTTTTTTCCATTATAATTCACCTTTGTTTTTTGGGGCAAATGTTCTCTGAATGCCAAAGGCATCCATTTAAATCAGTGGCGCTGCTCCAGCTGCCCCAATACATTATATGGAGCTGCACTCATGTAGGGGCTTCTTTGCTGTTGCCTGTAGGCACAGGAATGACCTGTGCATGTAACACCATTCCTACCTATGTGCAGAAAGCTTCCCTTCATAGAAGAGAATGGGGAAGTCCCTGTGCACATCAGACTTTTGACATACTCTATATCTCCTTATTTAGTCTTCACTAATGTGATCTAGGTAACTTGTGACTAGAGATACAGGGAAGTTTGTTAAGGATTTAGCTCCCCCCCTCTACTTATTTTTTTGGTCACAGATCAACTTAGGAAGTATAGAATAAATGTTGATTACCTTCATTTTCTGCCATGAAAAGCTGGTTTGGCTTTATTCATATCACTGTAAAAACTAAACTAAAAGTATTCACACCAGCAGCAAATACATTGATGCCAATAAAAGTAGTTTTAAAAAAATCTTCTTTAAGATGCTAACAAATTTACTTACAAACACCTATATTTATTATTTCATAAATAGGCGCAACAGCTTCCATAAAAAAGATTAAATACAGACACAGTATGAAGAAACAATAATACATAGCTGTATGTAAAGGTTATAATTTAGATGTTTCCAATCTGTTTCAGCATCTAATAAAATATCAAGAAAGCATTTGGCCATTTTATACATAAGAGGACGTAAATGACGTTTACTAACCATTACACATAAAGTGATAAAAAAGCAGTTTTAGGCAGTACAAAATAAATGTGTTTGCTCTTTTCCCAACACTAAACTTTTTTTTTGTATAACTAATGACAGAAAGCCAATTTCTGTTTAATTAAATTCATTTGGGAATAATTTTCCTTTTTTCTTTCAAAGAGTTTGAAAATATAGAACTATTAGTCAGTTGCTTAAAAATGAAGTAAAAATATGAATGTTTGCCAATTTAACCCCCTTTGTGAAATCAATAAACTGGAATGAGCCAGTTTCAAATTACAATTAGCTACAAAAACATTCACATTTTATACTCTAGGAGAGTGTAACATAGATGCTATTTACAAACTTGCTATGACTGCTACATCAAGCCATTTAAAAAGTCTTTAGTAGTTTCATATAAACACCCATTATGAAAACCAATGGAAAATCCAGGACTTTTATCCAAGACATCTACAGTTGCTAAGGCAGTTACTAGCGCAGCACTTCACAGCAAAAATAAAAACCAACATAAAATCTGAATGGTCCAAGCCTCCTTCCTAAATGAAACAAGAAAAGCAACGTCCATTTAAAGGATGCTGAAGGAGAAAGAAAAAGAAACAAGGGGGTGGAGGAAGGAGCAAGACTATTCCCCCCCCAGAGTGAATGACCCACCAGCTTAAATAGTCCTAAGTGCTTAGCAACTTATATTTTCTAAATAAATGCAGAACTGCCTTGACTGCATATAGCAATCTGGGATGAAAAGACTTCCCTGCATTCCTCAGTGGAAAGAAGAGGCGCTTTCCCAAACTGTTCAGGTAAGGTACAAAGCTTTGTCCCTCTGCATGGCCCTGTTCAGAAAGAATTTGGGGGAGGGGGAGAGAAAAGAAAATTACATTTAATGTTGACATTCAAAACCACATGTTAAGCCTTGAGATCAGTGTTTTGATATCTTAAGCAGGCCAGAAGTGTTAGCAAAGTGTGGTGTAGTGGTTAAGAGCGGTAGTCTCGTAATCTGGGGAACCGGGTTCGCGTCTCCGCTCCTCCACATGCAGCTGCTGGGTGACCTTGGGCCCCACTCACTCACAGAGTGTTTGTTGTGGGGGAGGAAGGGAAAGGAGAATGTTAGCCGCTTTGAGACTCCTGAAGGGGAGTGAAAGGCAGGATATCAAATCCAAACTCTTCCTCTTCTCCTCTTCAAAGTCCCCCAGTTTTGGGCCAAAGACAGGCATGCAATTCTAGCCAAGGCTCCAGGGAGCACCTCAGCCCAGCAGAGCGTAAGCCTGTGCCCCTTTATAAACCAGCCTGTCTGATTGCCCCTTCCCACCAGAAGTCTTTGAACATAAATGCTCTGGACACAAAGCATCTTTGCTTGGCTGTGCACATGAAAACAGAAAAGCACATGCTGTTTCTAATGCTGGGGAAACTCTGGCCCTCCACATGTTGTTTGGACTATCATCGCCATCACCCCTGACCAATGGCCATCCTGTCTGGGGTTGATGGGAAAAGCACCCTGGTCTGCATTTGGCAGATAAGAGCGTCCAACAACATCTAGAGGGCTACAGCTTCCCCATCCCTGTATTAGACATGTTTAATATTTTTCCTTAGTTAAGCAAGTTGACCAATATCCCAGAACCCTATCACTTTAGAAGCGATGGGGTACAGAGTCAGGGATGGCTGCTGTGAGGAGGAAAGGGCCATGAACCCCACCAAATTTGTAGATCTTCATTTACAGTGGTACCTCGGGTTACAGACGCTTCAGGTTACAGACTCCGCAAACCCAGAAATAGTACCTCAGGTTAAGAACTTTACTTCAGGATGAGAACAGAAATCACGTGGTGGCGGCGTGGCGGCAACAGGAGGCCCCATTAGCTAAAGTGGTATCTCAGGTTAAGAACAGTTTCAGGTTAAGAACGGATCTCCAGAATGAATTACGTTCTTAACCCGAGGTACCACTGTATTGGATAAGGAGTATGTAGTCTGCGACCACTAGGAGAAGTGCAGAGAGAAGAAACGCCATGGTGCATCTGCAGCAGTACAACTGGGTGCCTTCATCTGCCCCAGCTGCAACAAAACATGTCTCTCTCATATTGGTTTCTACAGCCACTGTAACCTTCCAGCAGGTTGACTTCATTCCCCAAATGTGCACTCCTTCATTGTCTCCCGAGACAGACAGCTGCCAACAAGTATATGGCTATCAAGGTAATATTCTCTTCTGTTTACTGTAAGTGGTTGGACACAATTTTCCATTTCTCTCATTGATTTCAGTGGAGGGCGAGTCTTATTTGCAATTAATTATGTGCAGTACTGCAGCCCTTGTTCTCTTAAATAACAGTCTCCCTAATAGTAAAATATATTGGTCTGATGTAAAGCAAGCCACTGCTTGTTTATTATTATTTTCACTAGACATCTGTTAGTAACCAAAGGTATCAGAACCCTGTAATCTGAGCTAGATGATAAATATAAAAATAGATGCCACAATTGTTGCCCAGCTTTTGTCATAAATATTACTCAACACAAGGTGGCATTCACTGGCTGCTCACCCATTACTGCAGTAATCATTATTCCAGTCCACACTCTGTGCTGGGGGATTTCTGCACCCTGAACGAACATACTCCATCGCTTGGGTAACAACTTGCGCAGCTGTAGATGTTGGGTTGATAATATTCTGGTAATCAGGCTGGAGAGTAAAACCCTAAAAAAAAAGGGGGGGGGGAGAATTCAAAATAAGGTTTGCAGATCGAAGTTAACCTCTTAACTGAAAGTTCTGACAAAGTACCAATGTTGTACTTCTACATTTTCAAACTTGAAAAAAAAGAAAAGGAAATAGAAGGATGCTTGTGCTTTTCCAAAAGGGAAAAAAAACCACACACATTTTTTTTAATTGGTTGAGAAGAAATGCTAGATAACACACTGCAATAGTGTAGAACTCGGAGACAAAGAACAGAGACATTTTAAAGCCATGAAAAACAACTCATTCAACACGGGAAAATAAAAGAAAGGTCTGTGTGTTTCTTACAGCTCGTATTTCGATTCAACCCAAGGATACACTATTAGTTAATTCCAAGAATATGCAACAGAATCTTTTTGAAGGATGCAGGCAGCAGGTGGCTGAGTGTTTTATTAGACTACACCTATTCACAATTATTGTTCTCAAACCCCTTTTATTTGGTTCAGTCACAAAAGGACCATCTGCTCCTTCTTTTATTTGCACTTCTTTCTCAACTACACAAAAATTCAGCTAAGGCTTTTTAACAGTTGTTGGACTAATGTAGCAAAAGCAGCATAAAACCCCAACTTGCTGTTGTTTTCAGCCAAGAGTGAGAATGCCTAAATGCTGTTTGCCAAAATCAGGAGAGTAGATCAGATTTTCAAGAATGGTATGCATTGATTTGCAGTACAGGATTTAGCTTAAATATACAGAGAGCATTGCTGAAAGGTTAGAAGCACTTTTTGTGCAGAAACACTATTATACACCCACCAATTTTGACTAGAAGAGAACAGAGATGAACCTCCCGGTGACATCAGAAGGAGGTACACTAACTAAAATAAAGGTTTCATTTTGCTACGTAGAACCTATCTGGTTGAAATGGTACATTTTATGACCCTTGTTTGCATTTGGCAAATACAATAAATGCCTAGTTCAAACCAAGAGGTTAACATATAAATGGAGAGTTGTTAGAACACTCTTGCTTTTTCTTTTGAAATCCCATTATTTAAGTCTGCTTGATGTAGTAGTTAGAGTAGATGGTAGACCAGGGCACAAATTCCCACTGGGTGACCTTGGGTCATTCACTGTCTCTCACCCTAGCCTACCTCATAGGGTGGTTGTGAGTATAAATTGAGAAAGGGAAGAATTATTTGCAGCACTTTGAGATCCTTGGAGACAAAGTTGAAATATACATGTAATAATAAATATTTAAAAAATAAAGAGGAGTTCATTATTAACAAACTTGGATCCACTTTTCTACCATAAGATGAAATCTAATGTTGCTACCTAAAATATAGGATTGGTGCAGATGTAACTGTGGCTCCTAAGCGATATTCAGAAACCATTGCTGAGAACTAGCACTCCCATTTCACAGATCCTCACTTCCCTTGAGCAAATTCTCTCTTAAATAGTTCACTGGCACTAAAGTCAAAGTAACATTATGGCTATTTATTTATTTAAAATATTTTAGTCCCACCCTTCATCCAATGATCTTAAGGCAGGTTATGCTTCAGTTAAAATCACAGTCAATAAAACAGAAAGTGAAAAGAGCAGATAAAAGCAATGATAAAACCAGCATAACAGAAAACCTCAAAGAACATCTCATTAAAAGCTGCCATTCTGTCTGACCTGGGTGGCAGTGGCTCTCAAGGGTTTCAGATACGGAGTCTTTCTCAGCCCTACCTGCAGATGCTGGGAACTGAATCAGGGACCACCTGCATACAAAACAGATGTTCTACCACTGAGCTACGGTCCTTTTCACTGCAGTGCCAGACTAAAATGCCTGAAAGGATTTGTGAAACAGATATATGTTTACATGGCACTGGAATGCTAACAAAATCAGCACCCGTTGTGCTTCCAGGAAGAGGGTATTTCACAACCACCACAGAAAAGGCCCTATCTCATGTCACCACATGGTGTATCTTCCTTTGGTGGGACTCTAATGGTGGCACCTGATAAAGGAGGCTGATAGAGGGAGAAACATGCCTTCATATATTTGGGTTCCAATGCATTTACAGCTCTACATGTTAGCACCAGCAGCTTAAAATCAGCTCAGAAACGTATAGGCAGGCAATAAAGATCTTTCAGTATTGGTGTTACATGGTCCCTTGTGGTTGTCACAGACCACACTCTGCCAGACGTATTCTGCCCTAATTGAAGTTTTCAGGTCATTTTTTAATGATATCCCCATGTAAAACACATTACAGTAATCCAGATGGAAGGTTACCAGAGCATGAGTCACTGTGACTACATTATCTATATTCAGGAAATGCCATAGCTGTTAACCAGATTTTCCATTTGACCAGTCTTTGAGATTGCTATCTGAAGTGGGTCTCGGAAAACTATGTTTCTGAAGTTTTCAGAATACAAATCTGCCTATCTCATAACGCACTAATGTCTTGCAAATTGAATGTAATTTGTCTGAGAAGTCCTCTTGCAATTCAAAATGTAAAATGAGATTCTTCACATACACAAAAAAATGCTTTCCGTTTATGTCTAAACCCTGAGCACTAAGTACTGCTCAGGCAGAGCTAAGCATTGTCTCTAAAGGATTATTTTTTAGGCTTTGGGGTGGAGGGCTATGGCCTCAACCAAGTACATGGAAGCTCCTCCAATCCTAATGACCTATAGATACGCCTTCTCTCTCTAGCCTCTATTTTCTCCATCTTTTAAGCTTATGGTGAGACCAACAGATCCTTGCTGGTCCAGAACCCTGTTTCCCACAACAGCCAAGCAGAGGCCTCTGCACATATACCGTATTTTTTGCTCTATAAGACTCACTTTTTCCCTCCTAAAAAGTAAGGGGAGATGTGTGTGCGTCTTATGGAGCGAATGCAGGCTGCGCAGCTATCCCAGAAGCCAGAACAGCAAGACGGATTGCTGCTTTCACTGTGCAGCAATCCCTCTTGCTGTTCTGGCTTCTGAGATTCAGAATATTTTTTTTTCTTGTTTTCCTCCTCCAAAAACTAGGTGCGTCTTGTGGTCTGGTGCGTCTTATAGAGCGAAAAATACGGTAATCTAATTGCAACACTTGCCTTTCCCCCAAAGCACCAGTACTTCCCCATGATTGCCCATAGTCCAGGAAAAAACACCCTTTGCTCGCTTTTTCTAAAATGTCACTAGTTCACAGGACATGGGCACTAGTGACATTTTAGATAAATGAAATATTTTAGATAAATGAAATAAAACCAAGTGTTCAGGCAGTTAAGGCAAAGCCAACATTATGGGTCAATTGAAAACCCTTTTTTAAAAAAAAAAAATCAGTTTTAAACTATTCTCCAGTGACCCTATGGAACCAAGTGTATGGAATACTTTGTCCAAGGCTACAAATGAAGTCAAATGGACTAGTAACCTGATCCAATGATTCCTTACTTCAAAATAAATCCCCAATTTCAATTAGGGGTTACACATGCAGAAGATACAGTCTAAATCAGAATACTATGCTGTGCCTGCTTTGTTGACTCGTCTACAAGCTTCTACATGCTCATCTATAAGCTTCAACCCTCAGACAAACAACAACTGTCTCACTAAATTGTGATTTTAGTATTCTTAAGTCAAAGCATGTACTAAAGCTGACAATGCAAATGGAGCCTATATTTCGTATAGTATAGCTCCTTCAGCTGTCAAGTGTGTGATTTGATGTTTATATTGGAAGTGCTTTGGAACTGTCTAATTTGAGGCTTATATTGGAACTGTCAGCTCTGATTAGTGGCTTTTCTTGAATTTCGACTAATGGCTCTTACTTTCGTTTGTTTTTCCTATGTACAAAAGCAGTCACAGTTATGGATACTGATTGAAAACAACAAGGAACAAAATATGTCATACCATAATTAATAGTTCTTTGAACCTTGGGTTATCAGGATTCCTTATTAATGAAGGCTCCCTTCTCCCCTGTTACAAGCCAACAGAACAGATGTAGGAGCTTCCCACAACCCAGGAAATCATGTTGCTGTTCTAATATTTGCTGAAAAGGTTTAAGCCAAAGCTAACAAAATATAACTGAAGAATTTTAGAATTGCAAAGCTAACAAAAGGCCAAATTTCTTGGCTACTGTTTCAAGCAGTCTATAATATTCACTGGACGCTTGTGCCACTCTGATGCAGAATGGCTTAAATAGAATTTCATGTAAGGGTTTTGCAAACAACAATGCAATAAAAAATATCAGAAAATGGATGCTCTGTGGGCTAATGAGACAATGCCAAATGTTTTGCTTTGTAATGCTCAAGATAAAATCAGCAACTGTTTTGCAACATGCCTCGAATTTTAAGTTTCATTTTCTTGCACCAGATTGAAATAAAAATAGGGGACTTGATAAAGATTAATTTGATGTCAGACGGGACATTTGCTCTTTAATTAGATTTCTGTATCCCTAGCTGGGGGTTTTGTGTGCGACTGTAGCAAGTACTAAAAAGCCTGCAGCAGAACCTAAAGTGCGATCCTCATCTCTACACTTTACCGGGAACTAATTTCATTTCCTGCCTGTCTGGAGAGGTATTTTCAACAGGCATCAATGTTTTTGTCTTCACAACTGATTTATTCATCAATCTCAATGTGATGTTTTTTAAACCTTTAAATTGCATCCAAATCCTAAAGCATCTGTTTATTACACAAGGAAATTGAAAATATGTCTGTGTGATATCATACAAAGATTTTCCCTTAAGGTTATAAGGACAGTTGACAGATATTAATGATTCCCTCTCCCCATGCCTGTTAGCCACATTCAGAAACATGGTACGTGGGGGGAAATGGAGGGCAGGGGAAATAAAGAGTCGTGAAAATGCAGCATGCCCGAGAACTGACGGGATAAAAACAGATCGGAAGAAGTGAAGCTGCAATGTCTGAAAAGGCCACCCATGTGATCACATTGCAACGGAGGTGATAAAAATAAAGAATGGAATTGTAGGCCTTCTATCATGGTAACATAGAAAAACAACAGCTTAGTAGATCAGTACTTCTATCTCTAGTTCAACACAGCCTTCCCCAAGCTGGTGACCTCTGCATGGTGTGGAACTACAAGTTCCCTCATCCCTGACCAAGCTGGCTGAGGCTAATGGTGGAAGTTATGGACCAAAACATCCAGAGGTCACCAGCTTGGGGAAGGCTGGTGTGACAGAACAGGAGAATGAACAGCATACTAGCACTATGAGGGTAGAGGTATGTGATAGTTACCACTCATGTAATAAATGACAAAAAGCTGTATGAAAGAAGTCTTTCACAGGGCAGGTAGGCAGTTTGGTCTTACTGGGATGGGTGAGAAGGGAGTTGGCTCATAGTCAGATCCATGAACTTCAATATTCTAGGAAGTTAACCAGAGTGCTTGCAAATCTTTGCAAACACACAGTAGACATTCAGTAGGTAGACTTTGGGTTCCCTATACACGACTTTTGTTCTGTTTTATTGAAAACAGCAATGGAATTTCATTGGGACTGTTGATTCATTTTATGAGTATCTATCACTCATTTTAGGAGTATCTGTGTTACCAAAAACCAGACAGTTACACACATAATGGCAACAATGTTTCTGTTACCAAATTCTCTAGAAGATGTGGGGAAATGGTATGGTGTGTTGTTGTTTTTTATAAAAAAAGAATTGTAGTGCTTTTTGTTTTCAGTGTGAACACAAAATTCCTGTATAAATGTCTTGTTAGCCTATGAAAAATCAAAAGAAATGTGACTAATTTAGCTAGACTTCATTTAGGTTGCATTTTTCTAATGAAGCTCATGATTTAGAAGGTAATATCTGACAGGTGACCTGTGAGAAACTTCTGAGAGGGGCAATGAATCTAAGTGAATGAGCAACATAATGGGTTCATTATAACATATATAAGTTAAAGCACATTGGGAGGAAATAATTGGGGGAACCTTCATATATTGAGAATCTAAATTAACTGACACCGCTTAGGAAAAAGCTCTGGTCACCTGAGTGCACACTAAATGAAAACATCTGAATAATGCCTAGCACTGAGGGCAGGGTCACAAAAGTCCACAAACAAGATGCTACTGATTTCATACTGCAATATAAATTGATGGTATGCCTCTTATAACCTGTGTTTTAATGTTAAAAAAAAAGTATATCAGAAAGAAAAGACTAAGAGAATATCAAGTGAAAATAATGGAGTTCTTTCATTTTGGGGCCGAGGAACAAGTACTTTGATATTCTAGTTGAAATAACACAATGTAGAATAAGGCCCATCTGAACTTTACTATGCATTTCCCCCTGACTGGGTGCTTTCCAGAAGTTTTGAATTTCAGCTGCCATCAGGCCCAGCTTGCACAGCCAATGGTCAGAGATATGGGAGCTGTAAGCTTAGGGGAAGACTCCTCTTAAGTGTTGTTGATGAATAAAAAGAATAAAACACGGTACTGGAATTCAGAATGATTAATGGTATGAATTATAGCTCTAATTGCCACAACATTTCTCTCCTTCATTTGCATAAGTTCTAATAGCATTCACATACACACCAGAAATGGTCAGGGGAAGCAAGAGCGCAGAACCTCCTGGCATCTCCCTACTTCTATGCAATGAACTAGCTCACTTGTTGCTATCACAAAGGAAGTAGCATGGTTGTGGGGCATCAGGACTTTGGTACATGCATTACATGCAGAAAGTCCCAGGTTCTGTTCTTGGCATCTCCAGCTGAGGGTCTGGAAAGGAACTGCTAGTCACAGTGAGCAATACTTGGGTAGACAAACCAATGATCTGACTCAAGCTAAGGCAGCTTCCTGTGTTCAACAAGGCTACAAAGCGGCCACAAGCTTGGAAGAAGATAGGTTCACATACAATAACCAGCTAAGCTTCTGCCTTGCTCATGCTAGCCTGCAAGTTGTCTACACGTGTGTGACTTTTTATATGGTTAGAGAACAGGAACCATCTGGTTTTCCTCCATAGGGAGAAGCAGATTTCTGGGGATCATAACTCGCAGCTGCAATATGAAACCTGGAACTCTGAGCCAATGCAAAAATGGGAAGTAACACAAATATTAATGTATCATCAGAGATTAAAAACACAGGTAGGACTTACTTGTTGCATTGTAGGTGAATGCAAAGCAGACTGGACCTGCATTGGTAGCTGGTTCCCAATGGACTGCTGCATTGTAAGTGGCTGGTGTTGTTGTATACTGAGGTGCGGGTGAAGAGGAGGACTCATCTGAAGGGATGGAGGTGGAGACACAGCCATATTGGCTATGGAAACAGTCACTGGCATTTGGCTGTTAGGCTTAGGTGCTATATTCCTAGGAATATTGGGATGTATGGCTGTTATGTGAGGATTCATTCCTCCTTGTTGATGGTAATGGGAACTTAGATACAATGCCGAATGAGGCTGTGTAGATCCATGGAATACTGACTGCTTTGTGTTCATCATCTGAGGTTGCTGGGATACCTTAACATCCACAGGTTCATTGTAGCTCTGTTCAGAAAAAAAATAAAACAAAAACACCAGACAATACTTAAAGGCTGTTAGTGCTGTAAGCATTATAGCCAAAGTGAATGAATGCATGACATGGTTACGAATGTACAAAGGGCCCTGCTGAATCAGAGCAAAGGGCTGTCTAGTCCAGCATTCTGTTCTCACAGAGGCTAAGCAGATGCTTATGTAAAGACTAAAGCAGGGCTCGACTGCAACAAGCTCTTAGTTTCTTCTGCTCGCCCAAATGTAAAATAATAAAAGACACAGCAATGGAAACATAAAGGCAAGTCAAAACAAGAAGTTGTACATGACCTTGAAAACAAGAGCCTGGAATTAGACAACCATTTTCCTGTCATGAATATGTCCAGCTATGTAACATACCACTTACTGACTTGCATGATGTAGTTACTACCTCTGAGAAGGCATGCAAATGCATCCTTAATATTTTCTCTCTCCCTGACCCCATTGTTTTCCTCCTACTATCTCTTGCCTCTGCATTCACCTTCATTCTCATTGAGTTGAAGTCTTTGGGCTCACCCACATTTCTGTTTGTGCCGAGCCTAGAAAGCACAGGTCCAAGCAGTTTTCTGCTTGAGCCACGCTTTCTAGATATGGGTCCGAGCAGTTTCCCCCTCTCAAACCCGCTCTTTAGCGATAGATCAGAACAAATGGCAATCTGGGGAAAACTGGAATTGCTGTTTGCTCTGACTGATCACTAAAGAACAGTTTTCCCTGGGAGAAAGCAGTGGGATAAGAGGAGGCATGGCCAAGTCCTTACTGTTGTTTCTACATTCTGTAGCTGATTTGCATATGAATCCTTGCTCATTCCAGGTGGCCCATTGAGAGGCATTGAGTGGTAGATGGAAATGAGAGAAAGGGTGGGACAAGAGCAGATGAAGTGCCTAGGTGAGCATCTCCTCCAAAGTATGGCCAAGGACACTGAGAAAGGAGGGGGACATGGCTTTTATTATTATTACTTCGAAAAGAAAAGTAATGAACGACTGTTCAGTAATTATCACATCACTATTTGTGAATGACATTGTGATACTGACTACACTACTGTTTGTAGACCTCTTAGAGGTTCTACTTACAATCAAGCAATATATAAAATTTGTTAAATAAAATAAGTAAAAACAAACCAAGACTTGTGTTTAGAGGGCTTTTCTGCAGCTACACAGAAGCTCCTTCTATAGATCTCAAGCAGGATGAAGCAGACTCATTACCGAACGCCTGTGGAACTGATATGGGACATGGGACCTGTGGCCTTCCAGGTGCTGTGAGACTCCAACTCCATTGAGCCCAGAAGGATGGGAGTTGCACTCCTCATCTCTGCCCTAGAGAGAAGTCTATGCAAGGTCTCAGAAATTACCTGCAGCAGGCTCAGCTCTACTAATTCTAGGTCATCAACCCAATATACATTTATGAACACAAAGTTATCCAGCAACATTTCTTTAAAAAAAAAACTTTTTGGAACAATCAGGGGATAACTGTGTTTCCTAATAACTTCCATATAACATATATATATTTAAAAGTTTATTTACATCAGTTTTCCCCACAGTCATTTCATCAGAGCTGACTTATAAACTAGATGTGCTCACATAAATGCAGCAAAGAGCAAGAGATTAACTCCCCCGGGGCTTGCCAGTGGATATGTACCTGAATAATAATTCATCTCTTAGGGAGAAGTTGAATGAATAACTAGTGGAAGGTGAAACATGCCAGGGAAAAAAAGAGAGAGATAAAATGTTCCTTTGAAAGAAGGCAGTACTATGTCAAAACAAGAGTTGGAAGATGCATATATGCCCTTATTCTATAACCTCCATGTCACATTTCCTCCATTTACAAGTCAAAATAAGTTTAACGTTACTCCAGGCACTCTGGGGTCACTGGAGCCTGTGAAGAACCATTTGTATTCCTTTTGATGTATGCACCATCACCACCAATCAGCCAATATGCACATTACAGAAATTGGTTCATTATGCGCAATGATATACAATGAAAAAGATGATAACTTCATTTGCCCAAGTCAAGCTGTAGTAATGATGGCAACAAAAACGTATTTTCTCCAGTAAACTGAGCAAAATTAAATGGAAATGATAAAGGGAATTCAATTCTCGGCGCATAGGTAAGAATATGCGTTCCACCTGCACCCAATGTGATATACTACTCCACTTGCACATAGAAAACCCAAACACAAGGCAATAGATTTAAAATGTAGCTCTCTCTTTTATTATTATTATTATTATTATGGTGGCATAAAAGAAATGTTGGACCCTACTGAGGGGGAGTCATTTTCTTTCTCAATGTGAAGGGTTTTAACGTTCTCTAAAGCTCTCTTAAACTGAGTGGGGATTGACTAATAGCATTGTTCCACTGTTCTGGTGTTATGTACCCCACTAGGGTGGGGAACCTTCTTCAGCCTTAGAACTGCATTCCCTCAAATGCAACCTTATTGGTGGGGTGGAGGCATGCACTTGTGGTGGGTGTGGCAAACTATGTGTGGTCAGACACACTCCACTCTCCATACAGGCAAGCAAGAGTAATTATCACATTCTAGCCACATAAAAACACTAGAAGAGGAAACAGGTGAGGCTCAGTGAAGAGTGCAGCTTGGCCTGGGCAGAGTCTCAGGGGCTAGATCAGGATTCCTCAACCTCAGCCCTCCAGATGTTTTGAGACTACAATTCCCGTCATCCCTGACCACTGGTCCTGCTAGCTAGGGATCATGGGAGTTGTAGGCCCAAAACATCTTGAGGGCTGAGGTTGAGGAAGCCTGGGCTAGAGATAGAATTACCAGCCTGCCTGGTTGGGTTGGAGGTTAATTGTTCTCTGAGGAAGTTGGACGAGATGACCCCTCTATGATCCTAGACCCCTGCCTCTTTAGGCTGCAGCCAGCAATGGAGGGCTGGAGAAAAAGCAGGGAGTGGTGATGGTAGAGAGGAGATGGGGCCAAGAATCCAGAGTACCAGAGCTGGGAAGTGACAGATTAAGGATGCTGGGACCCAGGCATTGGAAGTGCAGCATCAGTGATGGTGTGAGGACGTTTGTTTGAAAGCTGAAAGGTTTTACCAGCTTAAGGGGAAAGACTTCAGTGGTTCAGAAAGTGAAACTTGTTACTAAATTTGGAAAGAAAGACCTGTCTGGTTTATTTGTTCTATGTCTTTCAAAGACAGTCTAATATTTGTAAAGTGTTTAAAATATCTGTGCCAAGTCCTGGGATATCAGACTTGTAGACATGGACAGGCAGGCAGCTCTGGCAAAAGGGCAATCATAATAACAAAGTGCAAGACTTAATTAATTCATATTTTTTAGAGGACATATAGTAATATTTGCTTATATTTTTAGCTATCTAAATACTGTTATGATAATACCCTTTATTCAGGTTTCAATGGGGATTTTTATGTGTCTGCAGATTTGAATAATGATAGGGTTTTACAAGGAATGAAATTATCTACATACATGCTTTTATAAACACTGGTTGAGTTATATTTTTACCTGTTTATATCTTGGATCATCTCATATATCTATTTTCTTTTATTCATAATAATATATGTAGACTCTTATGTAAATATTTGAATAAACAGATTATAATATTTTTAAAAGAGTCTTGATGCCAGTTGGAGTGTGGACTCAACATCCTGCACCTGAGTCCCAAAGTAGCCCCCTAACAAATGTAGCTGTTCTCCAAAGGAGGAGGCGTAATGCCTAAATCGTTCATGAAATGAATGTTACATGTTAGATACTATATTTGATTGCATGTAGAAGGGGCCCCAGTTTGATCTAAATAGCACATTATATCTTTTGAAATAAAATAAGGCATGTTTTATATCCTAAGCTTCTAGAGCTGCCTCCATAAAATACTTTATAAATATCGACTCAACAGGTAAACTAACAGATCTACTATCAGCTTGAACACAAAAATGCCATGTTAAGCAATAAAAGTGCTTGTTTTTTAACATTCAAAATTGCAATTCACAGCATTTTAAATAAGGCTATACAATTTGCTATACAAACTACTAGCAAAAGTAGTAAAAGTTGCAACTAAGGGCAATGCAAAAGCTTAGTCAGTATTATAAATAATATCACAATCTGAATAGCATTATAAAAAAAGCTTTGTAATGTGATTTTTTACTTTATATATTTATTTCCACACACATCAAACAGCTTGACTGTAGCCCCATTAATTTCAATAATTCTAAGACAGGAGTGGAGAATAGGCTTTGAGAAAAGCTCTAGCAAACATTGTAATATATTTAATGGAGACTAATGTACATTTGTATCATCAATTCCAAGTGAACAGTGGTCACCTTTTGGCAACTGGTAATCCTAACAAATAAAATAAAATAAATCTAGAGTATTGAAATATCAAATTTTAGACTCATCAGCATGAAAACACTTCTCATTTCAAGCCACTGTAGTTGAATATATAGGACTTTCAAATATGTTGTTAAGACTTGCTGCCCCAGCATACAGATGCTTACAATGGGTTACATAGATAAAGGATAACATATAGGTACATTTATTGGGGGGGGGGGAGAGAAAAAGAGAGAGAGAGAGGAGAAAAATGGATTCGATCCAAACTGGAAACACAGCTTCTCTTGTACACCAATCCTTCTCTATATACCCTCTGCACCCCGACTCCTGAAGGTCAAGGAACCCTTTGGAACAGCATTGGAAAAGGCGCAGAGGGATGCAGCAGGAGGAAGGTATTGGCAGAAACTGAAGGGTGGAGAAGCTACCTTGCCTTTTCAAAAGTGGCTTTTCCATTAGTACAAGGCACTAATCCAAGCCCATGCCATGTACAACTAGTCCATTTGTCACCTACAAGGTGGTGATCATGTTGTACAAGTACACGCAAACTACTGGAAATCAAAACAGCCAGTTACTGGTTGCGGTCCAACTTTCCATTGGCAGACGTAAGATTTATCAATAGTCAATTTTATATTTCATTTGCGGTCCTGCTCATGCCTCTAAGCTATGGAAATGAAAGGGGGATAGGGGTTGCCATCTAGCATAAACAAACAGCTGTTTGTATTAAGCAGCAATTCCCAGAATTAACTTAAAAGCTTAGAGAAGCAATAATTGTTGTTTACATATTAAGCAGCTGGACAATAAAAAAATATGGCTGGAACACCTATAATCCATCCAATGCCTATTTATTTATTATTAAGGTTTACACCCGGCCATTAAAAAAACAACTTATCAGGGTGACTTTCAATATTAAATATTAAAAACATGTTACCTTGGATACAAGGCTTGCTCTGTATGCAGCTAACTGCTTCAGATATTCCTTCTTTGCAGCTTCAGTTTTCTTTTTATACACCTGAAAAAGAAGGAAGAGTGGCAAATCAGCAACTAGGCTTGTTGGGCTATAAATTAAAATATCATAACCTGCAATATTTACACAACAGCAGCAAACTTCCCTATTCTCTTTATCTTTTTTACCTTGCAAACTTTTGCTTGTTAACTAAGCAAGCAAGATAGCAGTTGAAATGTGAAAAACAATGCTCAACACTATCCACATGACAAAAACACCATAATCCAATTAAAAAATAAAGCTAAAAAATGAATGGAGAGTGAATAATTGTTTTTTTTAAATGTGGTTGATCAAAGCTACTATATTTTGAGAATCTTTTATTACATTAGGATGAACATAATGTTCTCATATATTTTTGATGTATATTACATTCTGTATTATGTATGCTTTTGTAGTTCGCCTTGAGACATTTTATATTGTAAATGATGAATAAATGCAGTAAGAATAGTAATATGCAATTAGGATTAGTTTGGTTTACTCAAACTCCGATTTTATGTTACTGTCATCTTGTAGAAGCTCCTTGAAATGTTTCCTGCATGGGAGGGGCTCTGTGGAGTGGCAAGAGTCACTTGGGCTGACCTACAGTTCACTCTGATCACTTGGAGCATGTATGTTTTCATGCCACAGATTCCTGGCAGTGGCTGGCACTGGTATATGGCCATATAACCTGCCACAGTGAAGTATTTCCAGCAATTACTATATGGTGGTCTTTATGAAAGAACCTCTCTTGGGCTGACCTAAATTAAACAAGTCAGATCCTGACCACATTTAACCACACATTTAGTCCTACATAAATTTCTGGGACAGATTAGTCATGACTAAATGAAGTCCTATTGATCTCAAGGGGACTAATGTGTAACCAGCTTGGTCTGGATTCCATCCAATGAGATTGGGTATGACATGTTGACTTGCAAAGGCAAAGAGGGCAAAGTTCACCATGTCTCTGCACCTTCTTCTTTCAACTGTCAGAAAGATCAAGTCAGAACAGAACTAGCTGCCCTAAGAAATAATTTGCGTGGCCATTTTGAGATGCTAATTAAAAAGTGGTAAGATTATCACCTGAGGTACTCACTCATCTCCACAGAGTGGGTACTGCACTCATGTAATAAGGAAGCCATGTCTGTTGATCTATGGTAGCTATTTTGCATCATAAGTCACCTATCTTATAAAAATAGCAATAGGAGCTGCTAATGTCAGAATGAGAAACATCTCCAATCTAATTACAAACTTGCAAATCGTAATACTGAAGTTATCTGTGCCATTTTATGTTGGAACTTAGTCATGGCTATCTCCTGGTTGATTTTCATTTATTGGCATTATCAACATGTAGGACCTACAACAAACCGTTGCAGTGTACAGAGCTCCCGATCAGTGATTCAGCCAGCCAGCAATGCCCTCCACCAGACTCCATTCCACTCCTTCTCCCATACATTCCTGTTTTTCTTCCACAATAGACAGTCAGCATTCTATGGCCAATAAGCTTTTTATTGTACTTTTGTAAATGTTTGTGTTTCTCAGAAACTCCATATTGTGTAGGGATATAATGGTACCTCAGGTTACAGACGCTTCAGGTTATAGACACTTCAGGTTACAGACTCCGCTAACCCAGAAATAGTACCTCGGGTTAAGAACCTTGCTTCAGGATGAGAACATAAATCGCACGACGGCGGCGCAGTGGCAGCAGGAGGCCCCATTAGCTAAAGTGGTACCTCAGGTTAAGAACAGTTTCAGGTTAAGAACGGACCTCCAGAACGAATTAAGTTCTTAACCCAAGGTACCACTGTATTGCCATTTTGGATATATAAGAACATTCACCTCTGAATGTCAGAAATAGAGTGAACTATTAATTATTATTAATATTTACTATTTCTACTAATATTACCATTTATGCACAGATTCTTACCGAGCTACATGGGCATACACAGAGCCAGAGAACTAAAGAACACCTGGTGGATAAAAAAACCTCAAGAGATCCAGCACTTAGCAGGCACTCATGACGCACAGAGTTTCTTTAAAGCAACAAAGACCATCTATGGGTCAATAAATCATGGCATTTGCCCCCTATCCTCAACAGATGGTACCACACTTCTAAAAGATAAGCTATTGCACGAGCTGGAAAGAACATTAACAGCATCTCCTTAACTGCAATTCCCCCATAGCTGCTGAAGTCTTCTCACAAATTCCGCAAAAACAAATTAGAGATGAGCTTGCAGTATCTCTGTTGATTTAAAGCAGAGTCTGTCGTGCCCAGCGGAAGGATGAGGATACGTGCTCCATACTCTATATTGCTTTATTTACAGTTCAAAGCTGGTATATTACAGAAAGACATCTTGCCTCTGCAGGAGCAGAGAAATGCATCCTCTCTCCTCGACAGCTCGGAGAGAATCACAGTGAAAAACAGGAAACCAGTGTACGTCACATCCAGTCTCCCTTTCCCGTGAGAAACTCCAACAGTACAGACTGTGGAATGTAAACACCTGTCTTGTGACTGCAGTTGCTGCTCAGTGAAGGAAATAGAAACCAACATCCTCCCCTTTCTGTGAACATCACTGGGCAGCGTGTTTGCACAATATCAGTACAAACCCAACTTCTGCACATAGGTACAGTGTTGATCCCTCGATACAATCTTGGACAATACATCAGCAGGAATTTCATTACCTGGCATATAGGACACCGTTACGAGTCCCTTCTGAATACATTCCCTAGCATGCTGCAACTTTAATTGCAAGTGCTTTGTGCTTTGCTTACAACCTTCAGACTTCAGCAAAGCCAAACATGCTTTGTTGTCCTGGTAAACCTGGATTGGACATTTGACAGGAATTTTCATATCTTTGCACAATTGTACTAACCATTCACAATCCTTAAGTGAATAAGACAGTGCATTCAGTTCAGCTTCACAAGTACTTAAGCTAACTGTTGTTTGCTTCTTGCATGACCAATCAAACAGACTCTGATTGTACATATAGCAAACTCCAGACGTACTTTTCCTGTCTGTAGCGTCACTTCCAAAACTTGCATCTGCAAATATCTCAAGACCACCAGACTTCTGATTGTTAAATCTCAGTCTGTAATGCATAGTGCCTTTCAAATACCGCGCTATGCGTTTCAGAGCTTTCCAATCCTTGACACTAGGATTGTTGACTTGTCTGCTTAGCAAATTACAGCTAACAGCAATGTCTGGTCTTGAACATCTGGCAATGAAGTTTAGCTTGCCTAGCACACTCCTGTACAGTGTAGTGTCAGAAAATGCTTCTTCAGTGTCATCTAACTGATAACCTGTTGTCATCGGTGTGTCTACAGTGTTAGCATCCATCAGATTTAGTTTGCTTAACACATCAGCAATTTTCCGTGACTGGTGTACTAGAATGTTACCATCTTGATCTCTCTCTATTTCCAGAGATAGGTAGTTGTTTACCTCACCAAGATCTTTCATGTCAAAGTGCTCTTTCAGTTGAGCTAGGGCGTTATTGTACATTGCAACATCTTTCCAAAAGAATAATAAATCATCAACATAAAACAAACAGTACAGTTTCTTTTGCCCCTCCTCTTTGACAAATACACATGGATCAGCTTTCCCTTGCTGAAAACCTAGAGAAAACAATACTTCAGTGAGTTTTGTGTGCCAACACCGTGCACTTTGTTTGAGACCATAAAGGGATTTCTTCAGAGCACAAACAAATCCCTGTTTTACCTGTACGCCATCAGGTGGAAGCATATAAAGTGATTCATCTAGAGATCCGTACAGAAAAGCTGTATTAATATCATGGTGACTAATGTGTAGATTTTCCTCTGCAGCTAGCTTAAGCATAAGCCTAATGCTTTCATATCTCACTGTGGGTGAATAGGTCTCGTGATAGTCTTCACCTGGTACCTGTGCAAAACCTCTGGCTACCAATCTGGCTTTGTGTCTGACTATCTTGCCATTTTGATCTGTCTTCGCTTTGAAGACCCATTTGCTTCCAAGCAGTTTCATTCCTGGAACTACTGGAACTAGCTCCCATGTTTTGTTCCTTTCTAAGGAATCAAGCTCAGCCTTCATGGCATTTAACCATGGCTCAGCTTCCTTTGAATCCAAACCCTGGATTTCTTGGAAACTTGAAGGTTCAAATACCTTCTTGGAGCTTTTAACAGCTGTTACTGCTATCGTAGCAAACTCATCAGCAAATCTCTTTGGAGGTTTGCCTTTGTGGCTCTCTGTGACCTACGAATTATCCTTAAGTCTTCAACACTCTCCTCTTCCTTCTTAGGAGAAAAACGACCTATTGTGAACAATGGTTCCTCCAATTCTTGATCAGAGCTTTCAGAGGGTCGCATAGAGGCTTTCGCACTCTTGAAATCCTCTGAATCACCCGATTCAGTTTCAGATTCAGACTCAGAACCTTCATCAGTGGGTGTGGGTTGTTGTGGTTGCTTTTGACTATCCTCAGTCTCATCACCGTCATCAGGATAACATTGGAAAATTCCCACATTCTCCCCCACTTTGCATTGTACTCAACACTTCTCGTGAGCTTAATTGTCTTAGAGTCAGTCATCATTATTCTGTAAGACCCTTTCTGATAACCTAGAAAGATACCATGCAATCCACGCTTGTCTAACTTGGAGTTTTGTGGTGAGCGAACCCACATGTCAGAACCAAAATCTTCATGTGTTTGATGTATGGCTTCTTGCCAAACATCTTCTCATAGGGGGTACAACCAATCGCTGAAGATAGCCTGCGATTGTAACTGTAAACAAAACACGAGAGAGATTCGGCCCAATAACTCTCTGGAAGATTGGCATCATGCAGCAAGGTTTTTAACCCTTGAAGCAATGTCTGATTTGCCCGTTCCGCAAGTCCATTCTGCCATGGCGAGCGAGGACTAGACAAATCGTGTTGAATTCCTTTCTCAGTCAGAAAAGCTTCAAACTGCTGAGAAGTGAATTCCCCCGCGATCACTGAAAAGAGTCTTTATCTTCTTACCATGCACATTTTCCAACCAAGCACAGAATTCCTTGAACCTAGGAAAAGCCTCCGATTTCTGCTTGAGATTGTACACAAAAATATATCTAGAAAATGCATCAATGAGAACCATGAAGTATCTATTTCCACCCAAAGAGGGCGATAGTGGTCCAACCAAATCAGCATGAACAACCTGGTATGGTTCTGTAGCTTTCCTACTAGACACCTTACCTTTCGCAGCCATTTTGACCTTGTTTGCTGCGCATGCTTTGCACTTCATGTGGTACCTGCAGGGTTTAATAGTCATACCTTCAACCAAGGCAGGCATTTTAGATACTGCCTCAAAATGCAAATGACCAAATTTTCGATGAAAATCGTGAATACATTCTGCATGCAAACTTTTGTTAGAACCTGCAATGCAACAAGTGTCATCCTGCACCACATCATCATAATACAAAACAAACAAACGATCAACATATTCTGCATGCAATACATAATCATTTTTCTTTGTGATGATGCACTTCTTGTTCTTGAAGGAAACGTCAATGTTCCGCTCATTCAGCTGTCCAACGCTGAGCAGATTATGTTTGGCGTCTGGCACGTAAAGCACATTCTGTATCGATAAGTCCAAACTGTGAAGAACAACAGTTCCGTAGCCTTTACTGGGAATAGTGTGGTCATCCGCCTGGTGAATCGCACCTTCCTGCGGTGTAAAAGACACAAACAGTTTCTTATCGTTGCACATGTGGTGGGTGGCCGCTGAATCAACAACGAAGAAAGATCTAGACGTCTTCTGGACCTCTGCAACCTTTGGAGTGAAGCGTGAAACCATAGCCTTGTGCTGCGTTGTCCTAGACACCGGACCTTTGCCTTTGCCTCGGCCTTTTCCGCGCGATGAGCTTCGCTGCGCTGCTCTGTCTTGGCCCTGGGATGTCTGCATTCCTCTTCATATGGCCTAGACGTCCACACGAGTAGCATTTCACTGCCTTCAAAGCTTTGGCGCCATCTGGTGGTTCCACTGCACTATGGGATGACGTCTGTGAAGACTCCCCTTGCCCATGCAGCTAGCACCCCGGCGATCTGCTTCATTTAAAATCACGGCAGTAACAAAGTCCACTGTCAGCTGAGCAGTTGGTTGCACAGCAATCTGGGTTGCAACAGACTCCCAACCTGAACCCAAAGATTGTAGTATCATGAAAGAATACACAGCCTCTGGAAAGTTGAGTCCTCTCTGTTGCAGCTCATGTCTCAGATTTTGCATCTGCATCAGATGTAAACGCACATCTCCACCTTCAGCAAGAGCCATATTATGCAGCTTGTTAAAGTAAAACATAGTGGACCCAGCTTCTGTCCTTAAGTGAGCCTCTCTCAGAGCGTCCCAAATTTCTCTGGCTGAGGTCTTATCACGCAATAGACAGAGCTCTTCTGGGGATACTATCAATGTAAGAGTTCCCCTTGCTTTGGAATCCTTAGCTTTCCATGCATCTGTAACTGGAACTGCGGGTTTCTGTAATCACCTCAAACAAACCCTCTTTCCGCAGAATTGCCTCTGCATACTGAACCCAGTCGCTGTAATTTTTCTTGTTGAGCTTAGGAATCCCACAAGCATCCTGAAGGGCCATCATGACTCTGGCATTAGCCTTCAGCGTCATATGCTGCTTTAAATCTTGCTGCGTCACTGCTGCAGCTGCCTTATCCAAAGGCACACTTAAAAGTTACTTTCGATTTCCCCAGCATAGTGACTTGTGCCTGGGAGCCTTTTGCCTATTCCCGGCAAAACCGGCTTTAAAAGTTCAAAGTCCAGCCATAAAGCCATTAACTTGAAGCTGGCAGGCTGCCCGGAGCAGTAGCACATACCTCATCAATCACTTCTACGCGCAGAGCAGATTCCTTTCCGATCCGTCCCTCTGCATTCCGATCCTTTGCCGGCACTCCGATTCGACCTCTGGGCCCATAACCACGTGTTGATTTAAAGCAGAGTCTGTCGTGCCCAGCGGAAGGATGAGGATACGTGCTCCATACTCTATATTGCTTTATTTACAGTTCAAAGCTGGTATATTACAGAAAGACATCTTGCCTCTGCAGGAGCAGAGAAATGCATCCTCTCTCCTCGACAGCTCGGAGAGAATCACAGTGAAAAACAGGAAACCAGTGTACATCACATCCAGTCTCCCTTTCCCGTGAGAAACTCCAACAGTACAGACTGTGGAATGTAAACACCTGTCTTGTGACTGCAGTTGCTGCTCAGTGAAGGAAATAGAAACCAACAATCTCCAGATCTGGGAGAGTCGTGTACAGCTATTAACCAATGAAAAACAACAAAGCCAGTGGACCTGATGGGATGCCTGCCGAAGAGGGCAGAATTAAACATACACAACAACTTCACAAGCTCGTCAAAAAAATCTGGGAGATCCCAGCAGACTTTAGGAATGCAAAAATTATCAATTTCTTTTTTTAGAAAGGTGATAGAACAGATTGTGGAAACTATTGAGGCATCTATTTATTAGCTGCAGCAAGCAAAATTCTGGCAAGGATCTTAGCAAACTATCTTCTAACAATATCTGAGGCTATGCTTCCTGAATCCCAAAATGGTTTTCAACCTTCTAGGGGGAACAGTGGACATGATTTTCACCACTCGACAGCTACAAGAAAAATGCAGAGAGCAAAACCAACCCCTGTATATGATGTTTATTGACCTGACTAGGGCCCTCAACACTAAATTGTAATGCCCTGTGGACTCTCCTTCTGAAATTTGGCTGCCCAGATAAATTTGTGAACATCCTTCAGCTCCTCCATTATAATATGACAGCAACAATCGAAGATGGCTCTCAAAGCAAACCATTCACAGTGGGATCAGGTGTTAAACAGTGTTGTGTTATCGCCCCAACTCTATTTATTGCCATGATCCTAAATTTTGTAGAAGGAAAATTCCCCACCAGACTAGAAATCAAACAGATGGAAAGCTCTTTAATCTGAGTAGGCTGAAAGCAAAGAGTAAGGTTACTATAACTTCCATCATAGAATTTCAGTATGCTGATGACAACGTAGTGTGTGAACACTCAAAGGAAGACCTCCAAACCATCCTAAATATATTCGCAGAAGCTTATGAAAAGCTTTGGCCTATCTCTCAACATCCCCCAAACCAAAGTGCTGCACCAACAAGCACAAAACAACTGCTCTGCAGCGCCACAAATCCAACTCACTGGTGTAACGTTGGAAAGTGTCGATCATTTCTCCTACCTGGGCAGTTATCTTCACACAAGGGCCGACAATGATGCCAAAATCCAGCATCGCCTGAGCTCTGCGAATGCAGCTTTCTCTCAATTGAAGTATAGAGTGTTTGAGGACTGGGACATTCACAGGAAACCAAAATGTTTGTTTACAAAGCTATTGTACTACCAACCTTACTATATGCTTGTGAAACATGGAGCACTTATAAATGCCATCTCCAACTCCTCGAAAGATTCCATCAACGGTGTCTCCGAAAAATTTAACATATCACTTGGGAAGACAAGCAAACTAATGCCAGTGTACTGGAAGATGCAAAGATCACCAGTGTTGAAGCAATGATTCTTCAACAACTTCATTAGACTGGTCATGTTGTTCAGATGCCTGATTATCGTCTTCCAAAGCAACTACTCTATTCCGAACTTAAAAATGGAAACTGTAATGCTGGTGGTCAACAAAGACTCTCTCAATGCAAATCTTAAAAAATGTAGTATAAGCACTGACAATTGGGAAACACTGGCCTGTGAGCACTCCAATTGGAGAACAGCCTTTACAAAAGGTGTCATGGATTTTGAAAATGCTCAAACTCAGGATGAAAAGGAGAAACGTGCTAAGACAAAGGCACGTTTGGCAAACCCTCACCATGATCAACTCCCATCTGGAAGCCTATGCCTCTACTGTGAAAGGATATGTGGATCCAGAATTCGCTTCTGCAGTCACTTACAGACTCACTGTTAAGACCGTGTTCATGGAAGACAATCTTACTTGGCTACAACTGATCACCAAAGAAGAAGAACACATACATACTCCTAAGTAGATTTCTAAACTGCAAAATTATTTGTGAAGTGGTGCCACATTATTCCTATGAAATGTGCTTTATTTTATTCCATCAAAGCTGTGTTTTCAAGAGCATGCAGGTCCCTCTGATCTCTGCTGGGAAAACCCAGAGGTTGCTTAAAAGGATTAAAGATTTTGCATCCCAGGGAAACATAAGATCATAATGGAGAAACAGGCATCCTAGGATACTAAAGCTGTAAATATCGAGAGAGGAATAAATATAATAGATTGGTTCTAGCTGTGCAACGGCATGTGTGCATTCTTTTGCAATTTCTTCAGATTACAAAGCTGAGCTCATTTTGTTTCAGAAAGGATTTATAACAAGTTGCGTTTCTGAGTTGATTGTTTGTGGTTATTGCTAAAACGTATTGTTTGTTTCAAGGAAATGAAACACCCGTTAGCTGACAGGTTTTTCCCCTCCCCAGCAGCTAAAATTAAATTTGCCTGACCTGAAAGAAGAGGCAAGAATGCAAATTGCACTCTCTGTTTGAATACATCTGCATAATTGTGTTATTTCATTTTCAAAACAAAAAATAGAGCCCAATAAGAATAAAAGATCACGGAGATTTATTCCTGGCATTTCTCATTTTGTAAGTCCAATTAATGGTATTTCTATAGAGCTTTTTATGCAAGCATGATTATGGCACCCTATCATACAAACATAGTGCCATTTCCCCTATCCAGTCATGCACAGTCTTAGGTGCTAAGCATTTCTAAGCACCTTCTGGGTTTCTTTTAAGATTGTGGTGCAATAAAACTAGTCTTAGTCTTATAGTTTAAACAGGACAACCGTGACAGGAAAATATTATGACTAAAGTGGAATAATCCTGTAGACACATGGTAGGCTCAAGTCCCAAGATTCAAATATCATGTGAAAACTCACATTTTACCACACATTTTATTTTGATACGGGTGCCAACATTCACAATAAAGGGCTATTGACTATGCAGAGTTCAGTTTTGATTGTACTTCCGTGTGGTTTTGAATTGAAGGAAGTTTAAAAAAAAAACTGTTGGGTATCAGGGGCCTGACAGTAACTGCATTAGAAATTAAGACTGGGGAAGCCGTCTCCATTTAGCTATATCCATGTACTGCAAGCATTAATAAAACATAAAGACACGAGAAGACCAAAGGCTGATCTAGTCCACCATCCCATTTCCCACAATGGCCACTCAGATACTTATGGAAAGCCCAACAGCAGGATATGAGCTCTGTATTGCTTTGCAACTGCAGTTTCCCTGCAACTGGTACGCAGAGGCATATTGCCTCTAATGCTGATGGTAATATACAGCTGTCACATCACGTAGCCCAGTTTGAAAGCAGCTTAGTTTGGTGGCCATTACTTCATCTTCTGGAAGAAAATTAATTATGAGCTGTGCAGAGAAGTACTTTGTGACTCGTGGTCTATCCTACCTCATTGCATTAGCTAGATCTTGCTTAGTGTCCTTATACGGTGTCCTTAAACAAATAATTGATTTCACAAGTGCTTTCTTGTCTTTAAGCAACTATGATGGACAGATACATACTAAGTTAGATGAACTAGATCCAACTAGTTTCAATGGGAATTACAACTTTCCCCATTGATTTCAGCTAATTTAGCCTGGATCAAACCTCAAATCTGTACAGCAAAAATGAATGTTAGAAGTTAGAAATGAATAGTTAAAATTTTTGGATTACGTTCTGAAAAGGCTCAATTCAAATATAAACTTGGGTGCTTTAACTAGTGTAACAACCAATTAGCTGTTAAAGTTGCTGAGGAAATATATGAACCAGAAGATTTAGATCACTAGTAGTTTGAATCACGATTCACACTGTTCTGATTTAATCCAATTTACCTTAAGGTAAAGGTAAAGGGACCCCTGACCATTAGGTCCAGTCATGACTGACTCTGGGGTTGCGGCGCTCATCTCGCTTTATTGGCCGAGGGAGCCAGCGTACAGCTTCCAGGTCATGTGGCCAGCATGACTAAGCCGCTTCTGGCGAACCAGAGCAGCGCACGGAAACACTGTTTACCTTCCCGCCAGAGCGGTACCTATTTATCTACTTGCACTTTGACGTGCTTTTGAACTGCTAGGTTGGCAGGAGCAGGGACCGAGCAACGGGAGCTCACCCTGTCGCGGGGATTCGAACCGCTGACCTTCTGATTGGCAAGTCCTAGGTTCTGTGGTTTAACCCATAGCGCCACCCGCGTCCCCACCAATTCACCTTAACCCTCCCCAAACAATTCCCTCTGGAGCATAGTTCCTCTTGGCAGGCTAAACCATGTTATCCATGGATACAACAGTAGAATCAACTGCGTTTAGGGCTTACTAGGCCATTTTCAAGCACCCGGGTAAAGGTGAATTGAAGAATTTCTAGTGTTATGTCTGAGCTGTAGGTGGGAAGTGGTTGGCTGTATAGGCCCATTAAAGGTTTGGTATGTACAACCAATATTGACTAGAACACAAGTCTGAATGGGAATGCAGTCTGTTGGCAGCAAAAGCCAGATCTTCACCTTTTGCGCCAGCCTCAGCATGCCCTATAGACTGCAGGCAGCTGGAGACACAAGATGGGTGGCAATTGCAGCACATAAAATACTTACGAAAGACAGTGTGTTCCACCCATATTCTTTTTGCAGATGCCAAATATTACAGCCCTTTAGGTATAAATTGTAGATTAAAAGACTTGTAGGTGAGAGATAATATTCAAAACTGCATTTTATCATTGTGAGAATGCCTCCTTCCACGTTTAGAGAGAGTAAGCACATCGATAGACAGGAGTGCCTGGCGTGCTCTGGTCCATGGGGTCACGAAGAGTCGGACATGACTAAACGACTAAACAACAACAAAGCACAACCATGGCCCATTAGTGTTGTAAAAAATAGAGAATTGGAAAGACAACTAGTTAAGGGCAACCTAAACACTTGTTGTTCTTCTCTTACTACATATGGAGTTCAAGCAGCCTCCTGTTTTTGTTTATCATATTACTCAGAAGCATGAAAGTGAATACATAAGTTATTTGTGCTGCTTCTTTTTATGTGCTAGGCTAGATGTTTTGCTTTTAATATTTAGTTGCAAGTCACTTTGGGTTGCCTTGGGCAAGATAAAACGACTAACTACTACTACTACTACTGTACTACTAATTTTAACTAACATAAAATGTAGCTCCTAGTCATTCCACATGCTGCAAGTGGGAAGGATTGGGAGTTTTTTTTTGGGGGGGGTGTAAAATCATTTCTCAACATGAAGGAAAATCTGTTGAATCTTGTAGTTCTTCACTACAACTACTCAGGTTTTCTGGAAGGCTTCAAATCTCTCTCTCTCCCTCCTGACCTTTCTCTGAGTGGTTTTTGTGGAGAAATTTTGTTATGTAGCTTTGGGCTAACACTCTTAAATCAGGGAAGTGGAACCTGTGCTCCTCCAAATTTTGTTGCACTCTTAACTCCCATCAGCTCTAGCCGACATGGTCAATGGTCAGGGGTGATGGGAGTGGTAGCCCAGCAACATCTGAAGGGCCACAGGTTTCCCATTAGTGTCATTGATTGTTAGGATTTGAGATCCATATTCTATATTTGAGATCTATATTCTATATCTATATTCTATTTAGATCTCAAATCCTAACAATCACTGCGGGAGGCAGTGGAAGACAGAACTGCCTGGCGTGCTCTGCTCCATGGGGTCACGAAGAGTCGGATATGACTAAACGACTAAACAACAACAACAACAACAAATTCTATTTTTGGGATAAGCTGGGCACTACATAAAAACCATAACCACATGCACTGCAACTATATACAGTGGTACCTTGGGATGCGAATGGGATCCGTTCCGGAGCCCCGTTCGCATCCTGAATGGAACGTAAGATGCGAAGGCGCATCCGTGTGTGCACGGGTCACATTTTGCCGCTTCCGTGCATGTGCGCGACGTCATTTTGAGTGTCTGTGCATGCATGAGCGGCGAAACCCGTAAGTAATGCACTCCGTTACTTCTGGGTTGCCATGGAGCGCAACCCGAAAGCGCTCAACCTGAAGCACATTTAACCCAAGGTATGACTGTATACTATAATCACAGGCTCACACATTATCTGCTGCCCCTCCCATGAATATGATTTTTTAAAAATAAAAAAACCTTTACTTTTGTTTCCCTGACCCCCCAAGCCTAATTTTGTGTGTGTGTTTAATTATTCTGGAAAGTTCAGCTACGGAGGAAGAATTCATCCTTCCCATCTTTAATCTTCAAGAATATGGGGGAGGGGGGCGCAGGCAGGGAAGCTTTCAACTGGAGCCAATGGAAAGCTTTTTCAAGCCGCACTGCAGCAGCAGAGAGACATTTTAAGGGGATATAGCTGAAAAGGGAAGGGTTAACACCCAGCTGCAACCCTCTGCTGATACACCTCCGCTCCCGAACCACAATAAGCTTTGGATTATTATTTTTAAGCCTCATTATGGTGAACCCTAGAATTAGGGCCTGGTGAAATGGAATATGAAGGCAGGACTCTTCTCCATGGGATCTCACCAGGACTCTCATGGGAAATTAAGCTGCAAGAAACTTTAAAAAAATTCAATTGATGTCCATGGTAAGTATGTTAAGACAAATCACGTTTCACTTATTGGTTCATACAATTTAACCATGCTTACTGCACTCGGTGAAGCTACTAAAAGTAGAGTCAGTGGTGGTGCCTTAAATGTGAGTTGACTAATGAACCTGATGGTGATTGATGGAGAAATTGCACAGCAGTCTCACAAAGAGCTGAATTCTCCACACGTCTATTCAACACAGAAATTTAATAGGACAATTTGGCTCTTACTCAGGCAACAACATGACTTTGGGGCTTCTTAAATACAGAGACTGTGTTTAAGGAAAGTCATCCAGGACAATACTATCTTTCTTGTAACCTCTTACTCTGCTACTACATTCAAATTCAGAGGGTTTGGCAAGCTTTCAAAGACAGATAGCAGCCCCTCATGCCATGGCATTCTTGAGGGTTGTCCAAGTGCTAAGAGTGGATTTTCATGGGGCTGCAAAGGAAAGGGAGACATTTGGGGTAAGAAAGCCCATTCAATGAACTGGGCTCCACTCAGTTTATGGAACTGAAGAGTTTCCATAGGCTAGAGTTTCCAGGCAGTGTCCCATCAAGGCAATGTTTAGATCCAGGCTGGCAATCTTGCTCAATCTTGAGACTTATGTAGATAATTAATACACTCTATATTGGATATATTATGATCAATAAACTAGAAGGTATTGAGGCTAAATATTATACTTGCTGTGTATTGAAGGAACATATTAAGAAGTCAATACATAATTTTAAAAAGGAGATAAATGCTCATTTTAATAAACACATTACTTCATAGCAAGAATCAGCATAGCACCAGGATTTTGCATCAATGGTGTTGGGGTGTAGGAAGTTTCAGACAGCCTAAACATAACATGCTTATAATAATAATTTATTATTTATACCCTACCCATCTGGCTGGGTTTCCCCAGACACTCTGGGCGGCTCCCAAATGAATATTAAAAACACAATACAGCATTAAACATTAAAAACTTCCCTAAACTTAAATGTGTCATCTTTCATGGAAACTTATTACAAGTGGAGTTAACTGTATTTTGATAGACATTTGAAAGAAATATGAAAACAAATCTCAAATGTAATTGTGCAAAATTGCTGATAATTTTCAGTCTATGAATCCTCTTGTAGATGTTGAAATCTGACTCCCACAGAAATTATTGGGAACATCACACAGGACTCAGTGGGAACAAACTTAGTTTGCATAGACTTCAGTGTTCCTATTTAGGTAAATATGCTAGTATCTCACCATCAGTTGACATATTTTATCAAGCTACTTGGGTTGCAGTTCATTAAGCACAGTTGCATCCAAAGGAGTAGAAATCAATGAAGAAACCAAATGTCTAAAGTAAAGCAGTATGGCTGTTTTTGTATCTAAATGAATGCCGTTTTAAAAAAGTGGTTTATTAAACTATTTTATCAGAAAGAGGTCTTATTGAAACAAAATATAAACAAATGATACAGCTTCCTCTTGCCCACTTTTCTGTGATTGCCTCTTCCCACTGCAACCTCTCATGCCAGGCCCTTCCTGATGTATGGACAAGAGGGAAGCAAGACTTTTCAGGGCTGGGGTATGCTGGCCTGGGAGGGAGTGAGAAAACATATCACACAAACAGATTTCAATTCACACAATGTTTGGACACAACTCATTCTTATTTCCTGTGTGAGTGTGTGAGAAGATACAATGCTTTCATTCTATGAGCAATAAAAATAATAATTAAATGTGTTGATGATGAATAAAAAAATGCATAAATGTCCTGGAAATGAATATTCATAGTTAAAACTATGACTGCTGTGTCACGTGTCTGGCTGGTTTTTACTAACACTATGCTTTACTGTAGTTTATTTTGGTGCTGGTTCTTAGGCTTTTAGTATTATGACACTGGTATTCTTAAATGGTTTTGCTTACAACTTAGGCTCTGCACACCAATATCTTTCCTTGGTCTTTCAGGCTCAATCCAGATGATTAGAGGATGATAACTCACACAGTTTTCTTGGTCCTGTTTTGCTGTCTCAGCCTTAACTGTATTGCTAGAGGAATCGCCCTGTGAACTTATCTATGTCTGAACATCAGTAGCTGGCTTTGGAGAGCTTGATCCAACACAAGGTAGCCTTAGCTCTGGTCATAAACCATAAGGCGTTTTTTTATAATTGACTTTGCATGGTATTTAAAAAGGAAATGGATTAAATATATTAAAATTTTAAAGAATACTATAAAATACAACAGATTAATAATATATTAAAATATTAAAAACTATTTTAAAATAGTGTTTAAAAATTCTGCTATATGTGCTATTTGCCTGCATGTGTGGGAGCGGGGCTGCAGAGACAGGTGTTGTGAGGCAGGGAACAGGTTGTTTGTGCCCAGAGATTGGTGACCCCACATCTAACCAACGCACCACACTGTCATATCCCATAACGAAAGGAGTAAGCATTACATATAGCCTCCACCAGAAGGTCAAAGCATCTATTTTCAGCACTTGCTGTACCTCCGGCCACTTTGAAAATTTGGCACATTCATAGACCTCATCAGGAAAACCATATGACAAATTTCAAGTCATTGACTCAACAGGTTGTCATTGTTACAAAATATAGAATAATATATAGAAAAATAATGAATGGGGTTTACCCCCCCCCCCATTATACTTGTTTCAACTAAAGGTGCATTCCTGTACTCCTTAATCCATCAATATGAGCATGTTTTCAGGTTGCATGTGTTTACGCAATATGAGAAATGTTTAGTAGCCATGTTTCAAACCCTTGTAAGCTTTCCGTTTTGGCAAAGAAGAAGCCGACAGCAACACCAACGTTGACAGTATCATCAAAATGCTTTTGATTTCCTTAAGTATTGGCAGGATAAAATCTGAGTTTCATCCAATGATACAGAATAAGCTGCAGCATTTGTCTAGTGGGTGTTTGAACACCAGCGAGGAGTAAATGATTTGATTTTGTGGGCTCAGAGGATTTGTCAGCTGCCTCAGAAGTATAATTCTAGCTCTTCATATCCCTGCTGCTTCTAATTTAGCAGGACAGGCTCATAATTGAAGCAAATTAACTATTTACACTTGCCACTTCTACCAGGGGGAAAGAGGACATATCAGCAGGAAAGACTGAGTGGGAAATTAAATCCTTCCCACTTGTGTCAGATCTGCCCTTATATAAACACATTAACAGTAATTTCATGAGGCGTCAAACATAGGAATAAATACTGAGGGATAAAATAATGAGGTGTTGCTATTGAGCTGAACTGTTGCAGCTAATATTACTGAGAACAAATTATGCAGCCTGTAAGAAAGCATATGTTACAGCACTCCAACAGTTCCCTGGCATGTCTTATCTGATCATTAAGCAGTGGGTCCCTAGGAACATAGACTGGTCTTCCTCCTACAAGGTCCAAGTACAAGGTTTAAATAAACATACACGTGCAAATGCACATATATTGGGACCAGGCCATTCCTGCTTTGACTCAACTGACAACAGTGGCATTACAAATAAGAGGTGAACTTTGCGCAGCACACTTTGGAGCGGCCATGCCGTTCCATTTTTAGCATAATGGCATGTTTTACTGAGCTCTTTTGGCTGAAGCCATGAAGTCAGTTATATTAATGTAAACAAGAACATTTTGTTTGTAATTTGTTCATTCTATTATAGCTTCACTGGGTCTCCAATTAGAAATTTAAGTTTCATTTTACATTTACATCTGGTTTGGATTTAAGTTGTTGGTTTTTTTCTTAGACTCCCAGAATGGGGAAGAAAAATTACCTACACTGCCTTTTAACTCAGATTTCTGTCTGAAAGCCAAGGAAAGCTCCATTTATCACAATACTTTTAACTCTTAATTGCCACGTGCATGTTTTGCATGAGCAGAGAAAAATGGCCAGTGTAAGTTTACTTACAAAGAAACCAAAGGGGCACGCCAAGTGATGTGGAGGGGGAACAGAGGGCAACATTCCTAAAACCAAACCACAAGTGGCTAAAAGATTCAGTGGCAGAGCTTAGTACCCATGTCGTAAATATTTGAAGGCACAGCTGAAAAGAAATATAGGGATAAAGTGGTAGCAAGATGACCTAAGCCAGTCTTGTCTTGCTCAGAGATGTACATGGAAGATGCTAACACCATAAGAGTTGCAAGCAATATTTCTTTCACAAATAATGCGGGAAGTTTTTATTTTATTTTATTCATTTAAAGTATCTTTAGGCAGCTTGCCTGTCCAAACCAGGGTATAGATAAAACAAAAGATTAAAAGCCATAGAAAATTTAAAACACTGTAAATCAACACTTGAGTTTAAAAAATACAGAACAGGGGAGAACATAATTGTCAGACTGTCACTCAGCTAACAAACATCATGCCTGGAAGGGCAGTTGGAAAAGATTCCTTTTCAGGGCCTTCAGAAAAGCCAGCAGCCTAGAGATTTGGTGCAGGTCCAATAAGAAGAAATACCATAGTCATGGTACCACCACAGAAATGGACCTTTCTCTTGTGGCCACCCACTTTACTGACCATGGGAATGGGCACAGCAGGAAAGTCTACAAAACAGATCATAAGACGTGGACAAGGAAATATGAGTGCAGGCAGTCAAATAAACAGCTTGCAGGGAAACAGCTTAGGCCCTTAAAGGTCAAAACCCATGGAATTGGTTCGGAAACCCACTGGTAACTAGTGCAGCTGATATAATAAAGTTGTCTAATAGTAGTCAGGCAGCTACATTCTGAACCAGCTGAAGTTTCTGAACCTCCTTCAAAGGCAGCCTCCAAGTAGAGCACTTTGCAGTAGTCTAGCCTGGACAGGACCAAAACATGGATTGCGGTGAAAAGTAATTATTGCCATATGAAAGCCCATCCAAAGGACCTGCAGTGCCCCATTTGTTCAATCCTAGACTGGCCCATTAACAAAAATACTGCTGATCAACTTTGTATATTCCATGCTTAAATGATATAAGATTCTTCCCAGATTCTACATCCAGCAAGGATATACAAAGGCCACTCACATCTTGGTCTTGACAGATTGTCTTTTCCGAAGGAAAATATATTTCTGGAAAAGTTTTTGAGGCTTCTTGAAGTTCCATGATTCTATCATTTTAATGCTGGCCTTGGGAGAAGAGGGTGGGATATTAAGGAAGCCACAATTTATTTTGCTCCTGAGCTTTAGTCTGAACACAGCATGTACTTTAGAAGCCTGAAGCAAGCAGCCACTCACATGATGCTGAAATATAATATATTCACATATTATAGGAAAAATCCTGCATTGAAATGGACAAATAGTCCGTTCAAACCAGCATGTTACTTCAAGCAATAGACATTGCTGTATACATTAGAGTATTGAAGGGGGGGGGATCCTTCCTTAATGCACCTGGACAAGCTATCCATTGCCCCAGTGTTTGGCCCACTAGCCAATTTAGTTGTCCTTATAAGCCACACATAAATAATAATGATGGCTAAGAAGAATAACCTTTCCCGACAGATTCCTAGGGCAAAATCTTGTTTTGTTGAAGATAATGCCAAAGTGGTCACTGACTTGAATTAGGCTTGAAGGTTTAAGACTTACATGACAATAGGTAGCAACTTTTCAGATGGCTGTACTACGTGTTCTTTAATGGAATACACATTGGTTTCTCTGCAATTCACAAAGAGAAACTGCCAAAGCCAAGTGATTAACACAGCTTTCCTTTAATAATTTGCATGCTCCCATATGCTAGTCAAATAAACACAGCTGGAAAATGAGAAACCCCTGGATGTTTCCGTCAATTAATGTAACATGTCTGGCAAATACTCAAAAGAAAATAATTGTATGCAACCATTTCTGTGTAAATTCTAAACAAGGGACAAATTTGTTCATCTCAGCTGACTGGCTTCTTGTTGTGAATTCCCTATAATGGGACAGGAGAAGGGTTGTTTTTTTAAGGGGTGGAGGGGAGTGTATTCCTAGTAGTTCTTGGGCTTCCAATACCTTCTGTCTTTTCAGATTGCAAGATCTCTGTTACCTCCCCCTAGGGGAACTAAGGTGGGATATAGCCATGGCCTGAGGATGGGGCAGCATTGTATGGTGGTGGTAGTGGAGGGGAATTAATTCTTTCTGTGAATGGTAACAGGGACCTTCTCCTGTTGCATTATGAAGTTGTGAGGAACCTGTGGCCCTATGAGTGGTGCTGGATTACAGCTCCTATCATCCCTGGCTGGGATGGGTCATGCTGGCTGGGGCTCATGGAAACATTTAAAATCATTTATAGCCTGCCCTTCACCATGCAGCCTCAAGTCAGTCATGTTCCATTCAGCTTAAAACAACAAATAAGCCACACAGTACACAGCAAAACTCGACTAAAATTTTAGACTGTGTCAAAATGCAAGCAGAACCAGCAGCAACAGTGCAGAGGGAATAGCTAAATAGCAGACATGTGGTCAAGAAATGCATTTTTCTTCTGTATATGGAAGATACTGTTTCTATTTTTTTTTAAAAAAAATGGTATTAGGAGTCTAAAAATTGTTGTATTCCTTATCATTTGATTTCACAGGTCTCATTTATAGTTTTCCCTCACCATTTACTTGAAGAAAGTCCCAAAGTGGTTGGAAGAGATAATCAGGAGGAATATAAAGAAGTGCTGAGAGTTCCTTTTTGCATTTGTGTTAAAATAATACCCTCCCCACACACATCTGAAATCACAGACTTTCACTTCTCTTTTCCACAGAAGGGCTGCATTACAAAGGTAGCTGCTAATTCTTTCAAGCCCAAGACATGGCCTGGGCCCTTCTAGACATCTTTTTATTATACAATAATTTCACAGTTACTGCAAAGTAATCCAGATATCTTTTCTTAAAGGCTTCTTTTGTGATGAGGAAATCACACTTTCCTACCACTTAAACAGAAACACATTGTCATTTGGGAAATGCAATTTTCTCAAACAATAGCCATTCCAAACGCTGTCTGGAATGGGACTGCATGTGTATCATGGGCGCCTATTACTTCTCTTCTGCTGACAAGGGCCCAGGCACACAACATATAGATATGTTAAAAACAGAATAACACTTTGCACATCAGTGTGCTACAGCAATCATATTCTGCTGGAGCCAGAAAAATATCAGATATTACTGGGAAGGGCTTCCTTTGATGGATGACTGGCACTGACTAAAAGGAAATACAGGCTCTCCTATAAAAGAGCAAAGTGCACGGCCAGTCATATGGAAGGAACTCCTTTGGTATGATCCCACGGGAATTTTCAAACCAGCAAAGAAGGATAGGCTAGAAGAGGCAAGTCCTGAAAAGATCAACAGATCAGAATCAACTTCTAAGGTGGAATGTGCCTGGGATGAGCACCAAAATTGCAGCTGTTTGGTCATATCTGTGCCAAAAGTCTCCTAATATAACAGCAGTTGAATCTAGGCCCAGAGCTCGTGCAATCACAACAACACTGTCAAGATATAGGCAAGGATGCTAATGCAGCTGATCCAGTTTTCCTCTAGCAAGTTTTCCTTTTGTGGCTCATATTCTGATGTGGCACATTGATTCTCTTTGGAATCAAAGAAACACAGTAGCCAATAGACCCATTTCTAATGTAAAGTTAAATCAACTTAATATATGTATATGTGTATTGCTGTACCTGTTTTTGTTCTTCTCCCAAGCCATCCCACATGGAAGCAACAATTTTAGAAACTTCGCCAAAGGTAGCATTTGGGTTTTGGCCTTTGATGGCAGCTTGAGTATCTCGGAAAAATAATGCATAGGCAGAAACAGGTTTCTGTGGCTCATTAGGGTCCTTCTTCTTCTTCTTTTTGGGAGTTTTGGGCTTCTTTCCCATATCGGAGGCAGGTCTTTTTTCTCCCCCATTGATCTGCAAAGAAAGCAAAGACTATATTACAATACAAACTATCACGATCGTAGAGCAAACTAAATCCCCATTTCTCAACCAATATGCATCTGGGGTTCTGCTGGAAATTGTATTTTAATTAGAGTGCTTTTCATAATCCAAATTGTTGGCATCTTACATGATTTCATCTATAAAATGCATTTTAGGTATTTTTGGTTATGTAATCTTATTTTCATAATTTTATTATACATTTACAGTTTGCTTTCATTTCATTGCTGCATCTAAGTTCTGGCTTAGCTTTTCATCTTTTTCAAGTCTTACTGCTAATGGCATGACATCACTGCAAAGTGTTTCATAACACATTATACACTGGCTTATAGTTCAACCACTGGGGCAATCCATGTGCAGTAAAAGTTACATTCTCTCTGATGGAGATTTCTTCCCTCCCTCTTTAGTACTGGCAGCAATTGTATGCATGCTTTAAAAAAAACCATAAGAATCAATGTGTCTTCCTCCTGATTTAATAGGGATGGGATTGGACATGAATTGTATGATTGCAATTCAGCTGTATCGAAAACCATGATACTATTTTTGAAATCTTGTTTGTGTAACAGTATCTGAAGTTGGATACTTAAAAGAATCTCTATTATGTGGCTGCTGATCAACATAACTGTATGGCCAGGGGTATCATTTTTTTATCACTTTGCCTTTCAAGGTCAAATGTCTATTGTGCTTTTCCCTAGAGGTTCAGTTGCCAGACAAGAGAAGAGAAAACAGCTTTATTAAAACTTTGATACTGGTGCTGGGGTAAGATAATTCCAACAATTCATTTAGAAGCACAATGTTATTTATGTTCTAAATGCCACTCCCACTGAAGCCAAGAAAGAATCAGAGAGCAAGTATAAAGATGGTGTTGCTGACAAATAGGGAAAATCTTCCATATAATTCTTCTTCAGATCTTCAAATATCAAAGGTTTAGTGAGAAGCTTTCGAGTTTTCCAAAAACATTTCATCAGACTGGATATTAAGGAAAGCAATGTGTGGGGTCGAAGGGGAGTGGGGAAGAGAGACAAAGCAAGCAAGCCAGCCAGCCAGCCAGCCAGCAAGCAAGCAAAAAGCTGGCTTAGACCATAAAGTCTGCAATGGTTGCAGTCTTAAAATGGTTGTCACTGTGGCCAATATTACACAGGCCCAGTGAACTGTAAGCTAAGAAGCTGGGGCACACAGTTTTGTTGCTTCCAGTTTGCTTCACACTGGGGGAGGCATCATATGTAAACCTGGGATTGTGGTTTGTTGCTGTCTAAAACCAATAACCACAAACTGTCAACAAATATGAGTTAATTTTGGTGGGCGATCATGACTAGATAGAAACAAGTCATGATCCTGAGTTTGGACTAAGCGCCCCCCCCCCCCTTTCCTGGTTTGTTTGCCTGCTTGCATCAGAGGGGGAATGAAATGGAAGTAATCAAGCTGCATGCACAATATGGATTCTTAAACCAAATCTGTTTGCCTACCATTACCAAAAAGTGGGAGAAACCTCAGGAAAAAGAGCAAGGCTCATTCAGCTTAAATTTTGTTGTTTAAATCATCCATCTTATGCCGCAAATTGATTACTTATGTAATAGCTGTTTCTGGTCTAATAGCAGCATTGTAGTGGAAAATATGCAAGCCTAACAATCTATCTGATGTGGCAGCTTTTCACCTGCTGGAAGGTTTTGGCCTGGGCAAGCACCCAAACATATGGTCTTTTTCAGCCCTTAGACTCATAAGAACATAAGAAACCTGTTGCCAAAGGCTCATCTGATCCAACATCCTGTTCTTACAGTGGCCAAACAGATGTCCATAGGAAGCACCATAAGCAGGTCGTGAGTGCAACAGCACTCTCTGCACTTGTGCTCACCAGCAACTGCTATTCAGAGGCATGCTGCCATCCAGAGTGCAGGTAGAACATAGCCACCTTACCTAGTTGTCACTGACAGCTTTATCTTCCATGAATTTGTCGTAATTCTTTTGGTCAATCCAAATTGGTGGCCATTACTACACCTTGGGGTAGAAGATTCCATAGACTGTCTGCCCCTAGCAGACTGTGGGAAGCAGCATTGATGATGTAGTTGTTGCCCCACTGAAGCGAGTTGGGATTGTTCCCTAAATACCTAAGCACTAGAGTGCTTTCACAATTGTCAGGCTTCCATCTTCCCATGTACAACTCCAAAGCATTTCCCCTGCTGGAGTGGTCGTGTTCACACGGCAATGCATTATCATGCCAGAAATAGAGCACTAAGGGGAAATTCAAATTTTTCAAAAGCATCTAAATAAAATCTTACATATTTGGGTACAGTTATAACTCACTGCTTAGCCTTGTGAGTAACTTTTAATGTTCACAAAAGGTTAACTATGGAAACGGTTATTTGGCAAATTGAACATCTCTGAAGGAGTTTAAATGATCCATTGGCTTTGACTTGTTTCTCTACCACGCTGCAGAGTGAATATTCCTCGAGGAAATTCTCTTCTTTCTTTTCTTTTTTCTTTTTATAACGTGGAAATTAAAAAGAATTCCACAACTAATAACCTTGAAAATAATGGGGATGATGTTCTACCTTATGCTTACAAGCATCTAGCAGTTACACAGACTTTTCTGCTAACCACCAAAACAGAGACAGATGGGAAATAATTAAAAAAAATCCTCATACTTATTCTGCTAAGCATAGACTTGTGCTTCAAAATCCCTAGAGGTGTAGTTAGCTCATGGTAATCCACCTCCTGTCAGGCCTTATTGCTTAATTATAGTGATGTATTTAACTTATTTATCACAAGAAAGCAATAGTCTCTCACTTTAAAAATGTGTGTATTAACCATGTTGCACAAATAATAGATCACAAGGATATATAGTAGAGGATTTAAGACTATCAAATAAGGCACATTGTTGATATCTAAATGTCCCCTGAGAAGTTAAGGAACGCCTATAAGCATATTTAAAATAAACTGCAATAGTTCCAAGGCCTTTAATGGCAGTAAGAGAGCTGTTTCGTTCACACTATCTCGCAGTAATCACCATAGTTTAAAATAGATTTTAATCAAGTACCATCTGCATAATAGACTGAACAAACAACATAAAATTCTACTTATAACTTACCATATAAAGTAAAAATGGTAAAGCTTCTGCTACATAAACAGAATAGGCTGCAGTAGTACTTTAGTGATCATGTTTCAGTTAGTTAACATTTGCTGTTTACAGTCCTCTCATTACTCTCTGTTCTCTAAATTCCATGAAATCCTTTCATAAGTGAAATTCAAACAACCATGCAACACACAGTCATCTGTCTAGTTAGGAATACGGATTTGTGATCATACAAAGCATCTAATGTGTCACAATTATAAATAGCAATACAGTGGTACCTCGGGTTAAGAACTTAATTCCTTCTGGAGGTCCGTTCTTAACCTGAAACTGTTCTTAACCTGAAGCAGCACTTTAGCTAATGGAGCCTCCCGCTGCTGCCACTGCATGATTTCTGTTCTCATCCTGAAGCAAAGTTCTTAACCCGAGGTACTATTTCTGTGTTAGCGGAGTCTGTGACCTGAGGCGTCTGTAACCCGAGGTACCACTGCACCAGAAATATACATGTTTAATGAACCAATAGGATGAATTGTTACATTTAACTGGAAGGCAGTACTCATTCAGAACATTTAAGTGGTCAAAATAAATGTGAAGAAAATGGGAAAAGTTACATTAAATAATCTCAAAGGTACAGAGAAGTGGCAACTGCAAAATTCTAGTTATTGCTAAGTCCTAAAGCTTCATTCATCACTAACAAAAATGAATGCAGCAGAATACTTTCTTCTAAGGACTGTGCTTCTAGGGAAAATCCCCAAAAAGGGAAATTTGGACAAAAGTGGGCTTGTATCCAGCTTTCCATAATTATCAACATTTGAGTCTCTCTCTCTCTCTGTGAAATTTAATTTTTCCGTAAAAATACTATTTTGTTGTTTGAGTTGTGGTTTAACAACTTAAGCTAATCAGGTAATAATAGTACTACAGTCATACCTTGGAAGTTGAATGGAATCCGTTCTGGAAGTCCGTTTGACTTTCAAAACATTTGAAAACCAAAGTGCGGCTTCTGATTGGCTACAGGAAGCTCCTCACGCCGCCACAACTGCATGTGGGGGATCCTCCGTTTGCAGCTAGAGCTGCAAGCAGAGGATCCCGGTGCCAGTGGCAAACCACTATGTATAGTACATGTGTGGTGTTAAACACATCTGCTGTACGTAACGACGCAGCGCATGCGCTGTACATAGCGGTTTGCTGGCGGCGCCGCTCCAGCGCTGTACGGACAGCAGTGGGATCCCTCTGTCACCACTACAGCCGCATGTAGAGAATCCTCAGTTAGCGGCTGCAGCCGCGAGCAGAGGATCCCAGCACGTAGCAACGCTGCACATATGACCTACGTAGTGACGCCCCGCCCCAAGTGTCATGATGCCTTCATTCGCCCCTGAGCTGGTGGCCATCACTACATATTGTTTGCATAAATTCACATTCCCTTTCTGTGCTATTCTCCTGTCCTCTTCTGCTTCTGTCAACATGTCCCCATGCTCTCATTCATTAAAACAAACACATTGTAAGAAAAATCTAGAATTCTTTCTTGCTGAACAACTCTCCTGCCATACTTCTTACTCCCGACTTGAACCTCATCTTTCTTGTTAGCGCATTTCAGAAATATGCTGTTTTGATGGAAATAATTTCTAAACAATATCATACAACTGAATGAAATATTTACTATAGAACCGCTTACACTGTGGTGTTCTGCTGGTTGCAAACCTTGAAAAACAAAAGTATGTTGCTAGTCATACCTTTGAAGTATCATCTCCTTCATCTTCATGAACTGAACTGGATGGTGAAGGAGTCGCAGACTTGCTTCCAGGAGGAGATGGGGAGTTATGTGGAACATTGTTTCCACCCATGTTCAAACCAAGCTGAGCACTTAGTTGTGACTGGTTAATGGTTGTCAGCTGACCATGTTGCAGCATTCCAGGCTGCCTCATATCTCCGGGTTGAACCCTTGGTCTCATGGCTGCTATCTGGGGGTGGGAACTATACTGAGCTCCTTCTGTATTCCGTAATTCTTGCATCTAAAAGAAAAAGGAGAATTTGTAAAGTGAGAGTGTTTCATTATTATACCACTATTGAAAGTATTCTGTCTCATTAGGAGTTTGAAAATATTTTGCTTAACCTTTAAAACAGCATTGCAGCATTTAAGAACAACAGTGTTTAATAGCTCAGTGCTTAAGGAAATTCTAATGACTTCAGTGAAGAATATCCCTTCATGTATCATGCCTTGAAAAACACTCCAAGCACAGAAAAATTATGAGCTGCAATTGTATAATTAGATTTAAATCTTAACTTTTCCTAAATCAATGGGGTTTAAATATGAGGCCTGCAGAATTCTTCGGTAGATGGTATTGTAGTTCTAATACACCCCAAACTGCCTGAGGAACTATTCTGATTTCAGAAATGCTATCACTGAACTGACTAATCATAAATGAATGCAAAGAGCTTTAAAGTTCTGAACCCAACAAATTAATCCATTGCATTATTTGGGTCACTGCTTTTAACCTTAATGGACTTCTGATTTTGTTTTTTTAATTCAAGCAATGAATCCAAATTTGCTGAGATGAGGAGTAATCAATGGACAATGAAGTGCTTTACTTCTCCAGAAGACAAATATACTTGTCCATGGATATCCCACAATGTCCTACTGTAATTCGCTGGCACAACTGACTTCTGAGCACGCAGCAGGCCCTCCTCTCCTGTCACCTCCAGAGCATATTCTGTGGGCACGCAGGGGAAGAAAGGAAACAAGTCCTGTTGTACCAGTGAAACTCTGCTGGCACAGCATTGGACACAACCCTAGAAGTTCTAGGAGATCCAAGTAAACAAATTGGTGATGTAAGTGATGATAGAAGTGCTTCTGTATTTGACTATATGAGGATACAAGACTGGAAATTGTAAATGTATTTATTTTCAAGTGTTGCACAATACAGAACAGCTCTAGATATTTAATGAAGAGGCACAGTCTGGAAGTCTGCCCAACATATATAGCAGAAAGTAGTAATGTCAGTCTAATCATAAACTAATTATTGCAAATAATTAAATTTTCTCTCAGATTTATATTTTATCATAACATTTAAATTCCAGGAAGTTTACACATTTGGTTATGAAAACAGAGGCCCAGTTTAGCTGTGAAGGAGCCACGTTTCCTGCATGAGAATGAGCATGGAGAGCTTTGGGCTTGTTTACATCCCTCTGCTTATTCATGCACCAGAGGCTAACTACAGTTCCCTATGATGTCTGAGTTTGGGAAAGTGAGCTTTGTTTAAAACTTGAATTGAGAACAAGCCAGGGTCTATAACCATGATTTTACCTTGGCTTGATCTTAGCTCATAATTTTAGCAAATCACAGTTCCCCAAGTTTGAACATCATGAGGAAATGTGGATAGTTTAAAATCAAAAGCATTAAATGTCATCTGAAAGAAAGAAGGAGGGAAGGAAGACGGAATAAAGAGGGAGAAATGGGGAGCCTGAGGTTCACTGTGGTTCAGCATCCAAGCAGGAAACATTTCTTCCAACTATGTCTGAACTAGGTTGGACACAGACATGCTTGCATCTCATAGAACCCTTAGAGATCATCATATAACTATTGACGACAGGTAGGATATTCATTATAATATTGTAATATTTCCATCAAGACTTGACTATAGGTTATGAAATGCTATGGAGATTAGGTTTTGATCTGCTTTATTTTATTTTTTTTGGCATGCACGTGGATTGCAACACATTCATGCCAGCTGTATCTAGAAGTCCCAGAACATGCACTGTAGTTTTATTTTTCACCCAAACATTTTAATGTGGAACACTGCAATATGAATTATCACTTTTAACAGACTTTGTACAGATTTGTGTAATAAAATTTCTGGCATGTGTAGAATTGATACTTAGGGAGGGGGAGGGGGAAAGGAAAGAGGAGAGGGGGAAATCAATGTATACTGTCAACCAATGGCTTACATTTGAATCTTGAAAAACATTTTGTGATTGTTACTGGCACTTTAATCTCTTCTTTCAAACACCAGCTCCATCCTAGTCAAACATATTAGCCTTGAAAGCTATCATTATCTCTGCCTCTAGCAGACAATCTATATCTGAACAGTTGTACACATAAAACTCTAACTACTTCTTGGCTGTATCGCTTCTGATCCAGCTGTTTTGCTGAATAGCAGTTGGTGAATGAAGAACTCGAATATGGGCAGCCCTGAGGCCTTATTTGCTAATGTTAGTCACCAGCTGCTGCTTTCTGTGGTGTTAGCAGGAAAGGCCTGGAAGTGTGCCAGATGCAGCAAGAACAAGGAGAAGTGAGGCATCTCTGAAGCCCTTCCATTTAGCCCGGCCTGTTATCGTTTGACCCTGAACGCTGGAGAGAGTTTTCCTCAAGGCTACTGAAATGCATTGCAGGAGTTAAAGTGTGACTAGCGCTTATACTGTACAATTACTCAAGAGAGTATTCCCACCCTCCCAGCACTTATCTACAGGGCCTTTTGGATACATTGCAGTGGCACATTATCATAGCATTTTTTAAAAATTTTTTTGAAATGAGGCAAAGTTAGAGCTGAGTTTTGTTAAAATAGATAGCTGAAATTGTAATCCACACATTAACACCACCACATCCTGTTTCCTGCAATTACAAAACAGTACAGGTAGAGAATGTGTTTGTGTGGAACTTCAGGCCCCAGGCATCTCTATCTGGCCACCTCTCCAGCCACAACTCCTTCTCTCAGGCCATTCTCCCCGTGGGCCCTGCCTTGCATTCTTACGTGGCATTTCTGTCTGGCTGGAATGTGTCAGTGAACACTGATAATGCTTCTTCTTTTCCTGGATGAAGGGCAGTGTGTGTGCAGGTAGAAAGAAGCCTACTGTACAAAGGTAAAATTAGCAGTATTCAGCCACTTTTGCTTATTGCCCTACCCACCACTAGCACCTAGTTAGAAAACTACCCACGGCTGGTATCTGTCCAGTTGAAACATAGCACCATAGTGAACTAGAAGGAAAAAGGAGCTTGCATGTAGAGGAAGAAGAAGACCACATTGTGTAAGAAATGAGTAAGACAGCTATTGGGGCAGCGAGTGAGGCAGTTTGTTAATAGGTTCAACCTAGTAATGCTGATAAGTGATCAAATATGAAAAGAAATAGTGGCAGCAAATCTCTATGGCAGTATTTGTTTGGGGCTGCAGTTAGCTGTTCTTAATTTACAGAAATATGTGAAAATGTCTTATACTGAGTTGGGTCAATGGTCAACCTAATTCAGTATAGTCTTCATTGACCGGCAGCAGCTCTCCAAGGTTTCCCAGTTCTACCTGAAGATTCCAGAGATCGTTTGCATGCAAAGTGCCTGATCTACCACTGGGCCTTTGCCCAACCAATTGTTCCCATTGCACAAACTGACTGAATCAAGAAGAAAGCATAGAACTAAACAAGGATCAGGTAAGTATGAATTGTAAATAACTATGGCTTTAATGGTATTAGTTATTAGAGCACAGAACAACCAAAGTTGTTCTTTTGATTTAGATCACAGTAATAATGCTTACATGAATCATAATACCTTGATTCCAAAGAAAATGGCTTTCCCACCCCTTCTTCCTTACTGCACGTCTCTGCAAATGCTCAAATGCCACTGCCAATTGTTGGGAGACATTCTTGAACAAAGTGAGATGGAGTGTTGAGCTTCAATGGAAGGAGTAAATTGGTGGAAATTTGGGAGTACATCTTGTGTGAATTCAGGTACCTTTCCATTTCCACAAGGCATCCAAGTTAGAGGTGGGTAATGTTTGGGGCAATTTGTCAGGAACCTCACATCAATTGTGTGTGGGACCAAAACTGGCTGTTGGTGAGGCTAGAACTAAAAATGGACACTTTTTCAACACTTTCTTTCTCACTTTTCTTCTTTACCCAGCAGCTGTCAGGGAGGAACAGATGGCTCTTGTCACGAGGTCTGAGCTGACCACTTGCAGAGGGCTTCTGAATTCGGTCAAGGACCACATAAAATAAGGCTAAGGGCCACAGGTCGCCCACCCCGCTATACATGCTAGCTGAAGCAAGATGGAAATTAACCCCAAAGCCAAGGGAAAAGACAGATGTAATATAAAAACAGAGCTCACAGCAAATTCTTCAGCTGCCATGTTAGTCCAGTTTCGCAGCTGAAATAAAAGACATGCCTGTGATTAGTTTTGCCCTTCTGTATTCTCCAGGTGAGCTATCCATCCTTTAAAGTTTTTAAGTGCTACATAAGCATTCCTTTAAAAATCCATTTGTTCACTCCTTATTAACTTTTAAAAGTTGCATGGATGGCTAGTGGCAGGATGTGGTAGGACAGTTTTCAGTAATAACAACAGGGAATCTCACTGTTCAGCACTGAGCACAGCAAGCTTCTTAAAACAGGCATCCCTACCTCCCACCCAGACCTTGACAAAGAGGTCATATGGGCCAAATGCAACAAAGGAACTTCCACTGCTCTAAGAATGTCATGTTTTCACCCAAGGCTTGAAATATTTTTCCAGATCAACAGTCCTCTTGTATCGAGAAAAACACTTTTTTGAAGGCCTCACAAACCTGCCTGTGCATTTTAGTCACAGCAGTAATGATTGAAATCTGTAGCTGAATTTTGAATGGACTGCAATAGAATAATTCAAAAGGATGAAATAAAAAGGTGATCTGAATATGATAATTAAAGATGACCATGACAGGTGCAAAATATACCCTTAATACAGGAAATATTCATAGATTTGTTAAAGGAGTTAGTGATTTACTGATAAAGTTTAAGTAACAAAAGATATACATTGCCTGGATCTCTGGTTTATAGCATGCTGCAGTTTAAATAACCTCATCTGCATCAGGGTAGAATCAAAATATAATTTGATGAGAAACTAATCTTATTCTTAAGTAACTGAAATTATAAGGCTTAAAATAAATTTCTCAGTAATAAAAAAACCAAGAAAAAATAACATTCAATTATTGGTTTCTACTATTAACATTGGGTAATGCTCTCTTGAAGGAAGCCATCTTGTCTTTCACCATATCAGCTCTTGTAAGTGACCATAAGCTTCTTTAAAACAATTAAATACTCAAATGTTAACAGCAGGTTTTTAGAGCATGATCATGTAATGACACAAATGTACTAGCGTAACATTTCTTGGTACACACTTAATTTTGTGAATATTAACATTCTCTTCTACTTGATGTGTTAATAACCTTTTGAGTCACACAGGGCCAAGGTCTCAAAACTAATCATAAAAAACACACTGACTGCTATTCACTCTAATATAATAACCCTTTATTTAAAACAACCTCCAATAAATTTCATTATAAGAAGTTATTAAAAGGGTTAAAACCTATTAAATGTCAAAGAATTTGCCTGACTCAAACTTCCAATAAAGGAAGAAAATAGGCTTTCTTTCTGAATTATTTAAATCTTTACTGACTGTGCACTGAACCATTAAATTAGAAAAGTGTTATTAGAAGTGTTCTCTGGTTTTTATAAAAGTTGCAGCCTGGAATGTATCAAGCCACAGCCTTTAACCTGACTAGTTAAAGAAATAGGTTTTTAATCCCAAATACATGGTTTTCCTTGATATATAAAAAGAGGTCATAATTAAAAGTCTGGCCTGCAAGCTGAAGATAATAAAAGTATTATTACAGGAGCATACATGTTCATTTAGTATATTCTTCATGCATGCTTCCATTTTAATTTGGACAGATGCCTTTAATTTAGTTTCATCTTTCAGGGTCCACTCATTTGGACCCTCTTAGCAATCAATAAAACTTCTAATTGTGACTCATTTTGAAGAATTAATGGGGAATCTTAGAAAAACCAAACCCAATGCATCCTAATTCTAATAGGTTAATATTTTAATACGTGAGCCTATATACTAGCATACTTGCCTTTATCGACACTTTACACTTAATTATAACTTAAGCCTGAATCACAGGTGAAAAGGGAAGTCCTTATTTCATATTTTAAAATCACTTTCCTAGAACTCCTAAGCCAGCAGCATATTGCATTATAACACCAAATCAGGTATCCTTCATATATGCTAGAGCTGCTTCATTCGGCAGTCCAAGTAGAATCATAGAGTCTTTAAGTATTTAAAGTATTTAAAGGCTTGGCACCATGTCAGAAGGACCAGTCATGCAGCCCAATTGAACCATCGCCTATGGTTCAATATGATGATACAATGGAAAAGACATTGGTCCTACCGCATAGTACCAGGCCTTTCAATGTTATTGCGTGTTCAGACCCAGATACCTCCCCCCTAAATAAAAACACATTTGACTCAAATTTTAGTTTTGTTTTTTTGGCAGAATTTAGGCCACAACTTTATTGATTATGGGAAGTGAGTGGTTGCATAGGCTCTGGTTCGACTAGCTCCCTGCACCCTTGCAGGCAGCGCTGACCCAGGGCACCAGCATAGGTCAGCCAAGGATGAACTCCTGGGTAGGCAAAAAGCCAGGAACAGACTATGTTCACCCTCTAGATGCTCCCCTGGACTCAGGCACAGGCACAATCCCCTCTCGGGGGTTGACCAAACCAAGTTGAGTCCCTGGATTCCTTTAATGGAATACCCTTCACATAGGGATGGCGAGACCATTCTCCCATCCCTATCACCTGAACCAGTGCCTATCCGCAACTTACAAGTTGTGACGATTTGCTATGCGGCAGGTAAAAGCCAAATGGCACCAGCCAATCAGCCAAGTGGGGAAAATTCCTGCCGTGCTCCTGTCCCAACAACAGACGACACATGACGGCATAGCAAGGTCAATTGCAAAAAATGCCCTAAAAGTAGGGAGAGGTGGGCAGGTGTTCCGAATGCACGAGCCGAAAGAGGAAGCTCTGGGTCATGTGCATGGGTATATATAGGTCCCTCGATCCGTTTGGACCCATTGGCCAGATTCAACCCAACATCAATGGACCTACCAATTGGGTGTTGTGGCTATCCAATCTTACCCACCCACAACACAGGAGGTCGGTCTCCAGGTCTCACTGCAACACGTGCCCACTTTTAGGAAGGACACGATCTGCAACAACAGGGGTGAAACCATAGAGAAGTACAGTAACTCTGAAGCACCTCCTATAGTATGAAGATGCATTTCATTAAATACTTGAGAAGAAAAAATATGCAAGACCATTTTGCTTTTTATTTTAAGCAAGTTATCAAACAATTTAAAGCTAAATGGCCTAGTAAGTGAAGTTTCTTTCTTAAATGTATTGATTTAGGAGTACTGGTTATTTCATTCATCAACATTCCACTGTCCAGTGAGGTGGTGGGAAATTATGGGCACTATAAGACTCTTCAGAGTCATCAAGGGGGTTTATAATATAACATTCTATAATTAAACTACATAAGAAATCACAGATATTATTACATGTAACAATACTAAGGTAATTACATTTCCTCCCAGAATTATTAACTGAAAAAAGTGCTCAAATACTTATGAGCAATAACAGTACCCTAAATGTCTCAAGCTGCAATCCTATACTTGCTTACCTAGTAGCAATTCCCTCTGAATTCAATGGAACTTGCTTCTGAGTAGACACGTATATGACCGTGCTGATATTAATAATAATAGCAGAAATTTAAATATTCTGACTATGTCTTTTTATGTCAAAATGAACAAGCTACCCAGCATCCCAGTCAAATGTTGTGCCTTTGTCAATTTCATATATGTATAATTATAAGGCAAGACACTTCTAGTAAGTGATAAAAAATGGGTTTTGCTCTGGGGACTAAAGTGGTTTAATGATATGCTAATAAGTCTCTCTTTCTCCTGTATTGTATTATTTACAACTTTGTCTTATTAATATCTGCAGGATAATAATGTGACTGCAGTTTGCCACCCCAAGCACTGTATATTTAAAAACAGGAAAACTTAATGATTTGGTTTTCCTGTATTTGGAAAAGAAATGGCCACAGTCTTCAAAGAATAAGGGAAATCATGGCATATCTCATTAAACAAGAGGATATGAAGACATTAGATTATTTCATACGCATTTGCTATTCACAAATTTTATATATATATATATATATATATATATATTGAGGCAAATAGAGATTCTTATTATCATTGTCATCTTGCTGACATTTTACAAATGACCCAACATCTCAGAAAGAATGTACCCATTTCCAATTAACTGGTATTGTGTTGAAACCAGTTTTGTAGCACTTCCTTCATCCTCTTGCACCCCGTACAGTAAAATCAACCATTCTTAAGATAAAACGCCTCTCCTCTTTATATGTACTGCCAAAGCCTAGCCCTGTGAACTACAACTGGAGAAATCTAACAAAAAACTAGCAGAAATATTTTACCCATCATGTGGATAAGATGTGCTTTAGTTTTAAAGTGAGACTGGGGTACTGACAATGAGTTCTGAAAGAGGAAAAAGAAAAATAAGAGGTTGCAGAATAAAATAATTTGAAGCTTCAATGGCTGGGGACAGAACAAAGAGGGAATAAAAGACAAGTAGTTTGGAACAGGAGAGTAAGCCAATGTGAAAAGGTTTGATTTCAGAACGAAGCACTGAAAGATCTGCATTATTAAAATAAAAACAGCTATTAGTTACATAATTGACAAAAATCAATACACAAGGCCAAACACAGATTACTTATTCATTATATGAGAGGAAAACCAGGATTAAGCTTGCAAAGCGGCCCCATACCTCAATGAATGTGAAATAAATAAATAAATCAGTGGCTTTTTGAGCCAGTTTTGGATATGGGGTGGGGGGTGGGGAGAGAATCCCTTTCAAGCCTCATAATGAGCAAACGGTATCACCAGAACAACTTGTTTACAGCTAGCAATGTCTAGCTAACATCACCACTGCCAATGTGTTTCAATGTAAGTCTCTGTCAACAGGACAGATAGACCAATATTCCCCACAAATGCTCATTGACAGAGTCCAACAAGGAAACGAACCACATATAGACATATACAGTGGTGCCTCGCAAGATGAAATTAATCCGTTCCACGAGTCTCTTCATCTTGTGGTTTTTTTGTCTTGCGAAACACGGCTATTAGCGGCTTAGCGGCTATTAACGGCTTAGCGGCTTTAAGAAAAAGGAAACAAACTCGCAAGAACTCGCAAGATGTTTCATCTTGCGAAGCAAGCCCATAGGGAAATTCGTCTTGCAGAATGACTCAAAAAACGCAAAACCCTTTCGTCTAGCGAGTTTTTCGTCTTGCGAGGCATTCGTCTTGCGGGGCACCACTGTATATCCTCAAGATTCTCATTCACAGCTTACAGCAGTTGTGAACTCCATGAACATTCCATAACCAAACCAGCAATGGCAATTCTCCCATGCAAGAACACAGGCTTGATTACCAGAACCACAGCCATTTAAGGGCAAGTTCAAATCTTTGCTATTTGGCCCTCCCACTTACTTATCACCCCCACTTTCAAGCAAATCAAGCCCCATCATTCACCCAACTTTCCCCTTGGAGAAAAATGGTAAAATTTATTGCCAGAGCAGCTTAAGGCTTCGACCAACGGGGCTTACTTCTGAGCAGATATGTATAGGATCACATTGTAAAACAGATAAAACAGCCCATGGCGATCTAAAACAACTTATCTAATCTCAAGTGACATTTATGCCTGTCTTAAGAAAAAAATATACTTGGCTCATTCAATGGCTCTCTGAAAGAAAAAGGATCAAAGCAATTCAAAGTGAAAATAAAGCAAGGAATGTCAACCTTGGGCAAGCTATTTAAGCACAACACTAGAATTGAATATATAGGTTAAAATAATAAAACAAAGAATACAGTAACATACTTAGAAAACACACTTCAGTCTAGAGTGCCCTTTATACTGCATACATGGCTCTGCTTCTAAATCTTAATTCTCAATTTTGAAAAGCTCGCTCCTGGGCTTATCTATATGGAAAGCTATCCCTGTTTCTAGGGTGTGACCCACAGTAATGTTGTGTGGTGATTCTCTTCACATCACAGTGTACTCATTTCAACCCAAACACAACCAATGTTTCCTAGGTGACAATGTAGGGAATCTAAACTGGGATCATATACATGTTTCCTGGCATGAAGCTCTCAGAAGCCCCAAATGAGAATTCTGCAAAATTCAGCATGTCAGAAAGAGAGAGAGAGAGAAATCTCTTCATCTCATGTATCTATTTATTCAATGACTGATGCTTAATCTTCTTGCATGATAGGTAAAGGTCTTAATCCCTTCTTGACATCCCTTGCTGTAGCTTCCTTGTTTGGCTACTTCTTCTGCTCCAATATTTATGCAGCATCTCCTTTCCTGCAATCCTTCTTCAACCTCTTTCTTAATACTTTGTTCACTCATTTTTTCTAATAAGTCCAGCCATGTAATTTGATACCTGTCAATGACAAGAAGTAATTGCAACGTAATATGCAGTTTTAGCCCTGTTCCAGGAGTGACAATTCCCATCACTGCAGTATCTCATTTTACTCTTGCTATGCTAAGTCAGAATCTGAAAGAATCTGTCTCCACCCATGCTCTGCCCTCAGGTGCAGTTTCTAAGGGGAAATGCAGTGATGTGCCATTTCAGATGAATGCATCACTCACTCCCCTTTTGCCTTAGAAAGCTTATACAGTATCTAGTATTTCCAAAGATTTTTAAAATCTTAACATTTTCTGCATGTCCATTCTCTTCAGACCAAACTTGCCATCTGGTACTCTGCAATGGTTTATTAAAGCAGATCTTGAATGCCACACCATCCTCAGCTTCACCTTGGGCCCCTAAGAATCACTAGAAATAATAAATCTGTGTTGCTGTGCAACAAAAGCAAGGCAAGAAATTTGTCTTTTATTCAGAGGTTGGACCCCTGAACCCTTTGAAACTCTACAATTCTATGTCATTTAAAAAGAACATTCTATAGTTCAGCAAGAAGCCATCACTTATACATTATAAATCTCTACAGGTCTTAGTAGTATCGATGGGGTTCCAGGTTGATGTAAAACTGAAACAGTTGTATTAAAACTTCTATAGTTGCTTAATGATCAAAAGGATTAAATTATTATGCTTCAATTTTCCTGAAGAAGGGCCACAGAATATATGATATGCATGCAGAAGGTCCCTCGTTCACAGTGACAGTTGCAAGATGTCAGGATGGTAGGTAGCACAAATAAGAGTACTCTGAAACAAGAATAGAAATGTTCTACAGTGCTTTCAGTCTGATGCCCAATTTGCTGCTTCACCCTGCAACAATGAATTTGCTTCACAATTGCTCTAGTATACCACATTTTGTAGCATTTTGTGTACACATTATATAACTGCAGGTTGTTTTCGTCCACAGCATCTGTGAAACTGTAACACCGGCTAATTAACTTGTGAACACTTGCCAAATCTGATCTTGCTCTTCATGTTATATATCAAAAGTCTAACATCACTGAACTGTGCACTGATTAAGAAATCAAATTATTTTTCTTTTCTGCTTTCCAACATTATTGTGCTTTTTGAAGCTGCATCATTCTGGTATTTCCTCTGCATGACAGATGATGTGATACTATAAGTATAGCTTTTGTAGTTGTGGAAGAGTCATAGTAACAGATATGTAACAAAGAAAGTAATATTTAATTCCACTTATCTCAAAGGTCAGAGCTGGAGAAATGTAACCCACAAGTTAACTTCAAGATGCAATGGGCCAGTTTCAACTAATGAGTCCCGCTAGCAGAAGCCACTGCAAGGACTTCTGCTAGCACAGCGGGACTTTCCCCTCTCTCCTTCCCCATGCCCCCATCTTCCACAGATTGTCTCAGGGTGGTTGGGAAAACCTCCAGAACAGAGTGCAGGGAGAGGAGGGAGAGGAGACTATTCCATCTGGCAAGCTGAAATGTTTGCACTGACAGAACAATTTCTATAGCACTATGTTGAATTCCTCCCAACAGGTCTGATGTGCATAATGAGTGGTTTATTTTTTTTTGCTGGGCAGATCCATAAATCCAGGAAAGATACTTTTGTAGGCTAACACATTTTATTCCCTGTGAGCATGAACACTGCATCAACTTATGATGTTTCCTTACATCTCTCAGCTGAATAATAGCAGCAGACCATTTCTCTAATAAGTCTTGGCCTATAGAGCAGTTCATAAAGGGTAATCCTGCTGCCTCTTCTGTACAAATAACTTTAAGTCACACAAATATCTTAACGTGTGGTAAGGACTGGGTGCATCTGCAACTACCATGGCCCAAGACAGCAACATAACAGGATGGATCAACTTTCTGCATGCCAGTCAGAAAATGCCATTTGCACATGGACATAAGAATAGCCCTGCTGGATCAGACCAAAAGTATATCTAGTCTACCATTCAGTTTTCACAGGGGTCAACCAGATCCCTATAGGAAGCCCCTAAGGCAACACATGAACAGCACTCCCCATTCATGCTCCTAAGCAACTTGTATTCAGTGGCCTCTGTTGCTGGAGGCAATGCCAGCCGCTGCTAATAATCCTACCATCTACAAAGCTGTCTAACCCTTTTAAAGCTGTCTAGATTGGTGGCCACCATGATATCTTGTGGTAGCTAATCCCATAGTTTTACGATTCACTGTTGCAAAAAGCAATTCTTATTATCTGTGTTGAATTTCCCAATGTTATTTGGTGAACCTTGTTTTTTTTTTTTAGTATTATGAGAAATGGCAAAAAAATTATGTAAGTATATGCCCACAAACATATATAAGTATATGCCCACAAACATCATTGCTGGTGAAATCTGGACTGACTGCAGCTTTCAAAAATTCACCAACAGCAGACTCATGAAGAGTGCATTGAAGTAACTGATAATGGAGGAATGAGTGATATGCCAGCCTGATACAGTAAATGCAATCCTGGCCACTGCTGCTACCTGGTCAAATGTAAAGCTGAATCCAGAAGAACTCCCAAGTAGAGTAGAATTCCATCCAAAACAAGTTCTGTTTACAAGCCTGTATTCCTCCAGAAAAGGAGCACATGTCTTGTTTGGAGTGAACTTCAGTGTGCTATTCCTCATCCAGATCCTTACCCTCTTGAGGCACTGGTTCAGAACCCCCAGTAGCTTACTGGTATTAAAAAAAAGAGGGGCAGATATAGTGGGTGGCACTAAGTAACAAACAAAAATAATAATGTTGAATCCATGCAGAGTTATATGTCCACAACTAGTGGGTACAGACAGCAATTACAACTCTGCAGATGGTTGTAGGATTCAGATCCATCTGTATTCACATCCCATATCTAGGTGTGATCACTTTCCAGTAGAAAACGAAAGAGTCAAATGGAGCACACAGAAAAGTTCTAGAATGCTGTTCCAATGCCAGTATTTTTATCTTTAGTAGTTTACAAATCTGTTTCCTTGAGGGAAACAAGCCACCAAAACACTGACTAACTGAATTCCCACCCACCAAAGATGTAGGTTATTCCGTAAATCTCAGAGGCAGAACTAATGTTTTTATTTGCTTCCAAAGGCATTGTTCACATACAGAGCTGAGAACATTTTATCATCGACTGTATAAAAGACAAGTCTGATATATTTATTAATTTAATTGGAGAAAGCACGAATTTTGCATAATTAAATCTCGGAACTCTACTGCAGAATACACTCTAATTGCTAACTATAACTTGGAAAGTAGTCTGAGTTGTTCATCTTTGAAGTGCTATAAAGGGCCAGAAATTGTAATCATGGGAATAAGAAAACTGATGGAGTCTTAAAATGACAAGATTGGCATGATTTATAATTGGTTTGTTTCTACTTAATCTACATTAATGTAAACAATAAATCTTCACTCACACCAAGATTGTGTGAATCTTCATTTATCTTTTATGACAAGAGAGCAAAAGGGGATAGCTTAATGAATGGAAAGCAGCAATGAGGTCATGTTTAAAAGCTATGCAGGTCAAATGTCTGACATTTTGGAACACTGGAAAGCAAGCAACATGGTAATAACTATTTTGGTCTAGTCACTGAGGTTTATTTGTGACATTCCAAAGGGAAGAAGAAGAAGAAGAAGTTGAATAAGTAGTTAACTGTATTCTGAACAGTAGGTAAGGACAACTGAAAGGAACATTTGACAATCCATTTATTCCAACAGCTACAGAAAACACAGTCCACAGGTAAACTCACAATAAACATTGGGGAAATAACACAGAAGATTTCATACACTAGAAGTACTTACTTTAATGACTTTGTTTGAAATTACAAATCTATATGATCAACAACATTGATAGGAAACAAAATGCTGGGAAACAAAATGCTTTATTTTGTGTCTGCATTGATTCTTTCTCTCTCTCTTTTTCCTGCCCAAATGGAAGACCTCTGTCATCTAACAGTATTGCTCATAGATCAAGAAAGCTGGCCAGAGTCATTAATAACAAAAGTAAACTGATCAGGCAGTCCAACAAGATTTGACAATGGCTTTTTGTCAAAGTAGATACTAATCTGTTGATGCCTGTGAAGTTCATTACAGCAGTAATAAATCAACCACTGGTAGCTTCATAAATGTTCAGACATAATGGGGGAGGCTTGCTGCAGGCGAGAAAGCTTGTTAGTTAATTTTTTTCCTAGTTTCTAATTGTAGTTGTTTCTTTTAGTCCGAAGCACCTCACTGGAGTGGTGAAATCTGACCAAACCAGAGTTGGAAACATGTTCTGTTCTATCAATTTCACACATAAAGGAAATCAGACTATATATACACTCTAATCAATTCTGCTGAGGGGAGGCTACCTTGCATTTAAACACCCTTTTCACGGACTTTAAATATATATGATTTTTTTTAAAGTATTTTGTATGTGGAAGATAGGTATGCATTTCCTCCTTATAAACAGTTTCCAGAGTCATATCCAAATTAGCTGATGCCTATTACAGCAAAGCAGGTCATAATTCAAGAAGTGAGGCTCACTGGAGTTTTTTCACCATTCTGGAAAGCATGAAATGTTAAAATGACCAATAAAACCAGTATGATCGGAGATCAAGATGGGACACACAGACACTCAGTATCTGTATCTTGAACAATGACAGCTTTACCATTACTAAATAAATAAATAATTCCTGCACCACCAACCATGTGTGTGAGAGAAAGAAACCACACAGGTGCACAATTAATATTTATTAATAAAAAGAGAAAATCTGTGGTCCTCCAGAGGTTGGTGTGTTCCTGCTCTCATCAGCCCCAGTCAGCATTGCCAACAGTCATGGATTATGGAATCCACAACATCTGGATGGGCAGAGGTTCTCCATCCCTAGTACAAAGCATAAGATAACTAAACCAGGAAGAGAGATTTAAAAAACCTTCCTGACACATGTAAGCGTACCTTAGGGGATTGCTAAGAACTTTCTCCAGTTTAAATAATGATGATGATGATGATGTTTATTTATACCCCACCCTCCCTGGCCAAAACAGGGCTCAGAGCAGCTAACATCAAATGTATAACACATTAACATAAAATCACACAATCTGTTAAAATACATCCTAAAATCAGATCAGGATCAGAATAAAATCCATTCAGATGGCAACCCACAAAATGGGGTTGGAGACCTTAAATGCTCATCATTTAAGGTGCAAAATAAGAGAGAAAACAACCTTTTCTCCAATGACCTCTATATTATTGAGCAAAAGTCTGTCTCTTCCTTTATTTTCTACTTTATAACAGAATATTCTTATTGTGTTCATCCTCCGAAGAAAATGTACCCTTGGAACAAGACAGGAAGCTTTTTCTTTTTCTTTCTTTTTTTAAAAAACCTCATACCAACTTATACAGGCCAGTTTTTCTCAACTTGCTTCCCTCCAGCTGTTTCAGAACTACAGCTTCCAATGGATGTACCAGATGGGGGTTGTAGTTCAAAACACCTGGAGGGTGCCAGGTTGGGGAAAGGCAGTTTAGACAGTTTTTGCTTTATAGAGATAATTACTAATCCTGCACCTGTGCAGTTTTACACATCATACTTTTTTTCTTGCTTATAATACTGTCTCCAATCATCTGTACACCACCTTCATGATCATTGGCTAAGCAAATTGTTAAATTGCAGAGATCAAGTGTTGCTCTGTGATTATACCTGCAGCCAAAAATTGCATACTGTAACTATGGTTACACTTTGAAAAAGGGACCTATTAGAAGTATACAAAACTTTTCTTTTGTTGTGTTGGTAAATATGTGAACAAATCCATCTATGTCACATGAAGCCTAACCCTAAGTAAGTATAGACGGAACTGAGTTTCACTGACCTCAGTGACACCTACTTCCAAACAAGTTTGATTATTTTAGCAGTGTCTTAAGCAATATCTGCTTACCTCTTAGATGTTTTGACTGTGCGTTTTAATATGTTGTGCGCTGTGACACTGTTAGGCGATGGCCCAGTGAGGCCTGAACAGTGGGTCTCTTCTGCTGGGTTCCAAGTTTCTTGCCATTTCCTCCATTTTCTTAAAAAAATAAGCTTTTTAAAAATACTTTGCTTGTAGGGTGGCTCCACATTGCCACAAAATGCAGTGCCAGCAAGATCGGCATGCACCATCTTCTCAGAGGCCCACAAGTTTATCAATTCCATATGAATTAGTATTTGCAAATTATGCGCAAATTTGTGTAATAGCTCTGGACACTGATTCTTTTAAGTTTCTAGCAATGCCACTGGCAGTACGTGTTTGGGAATAAGTTTAGTTTGAGGCAGGAAATAATTTTTTCGCTGCCCCCTTCTCCATGCCTCTCTCTTTGCTTCTGTTACTCTCTGAATGTTGAAGGTACTGTATTAATGTAAATAGATAACAGACCATTGCTCCATCTAGCTCAGTACTGTCTATACTGACCCTTGTTTGTCAGTAGCTCTTTAGGGTTTCAGACAGAGATCTCCTCCCAGCCCTACCTGGAGATGCTGGGGTTGAACCTGTGGTCTTCTGCTTACAAGGCTCTACCACTCAGTTACAGTCCTCAATAAATAATGTTATAGTATACATTCATTTCTAAAAATACCTAGGTACAAGGGATTCCATAAGAACATAGGAAACAATCTAGTATCAGGTTAGGCAAATGTTCCTCAACCTTGAGCCCCCAGATGTTGTTAAGACTGCAATTCCCATCAGTCCTGCCTGTTGGCTAAGCTGTCTGGGGATGGTTGGAGTTGTATCCCAACATCTGGAGAACCAAGATTGAAGAACCCTGGGCTAGTAGTTAGAACACCAGTACTATCTGCTCTGACTTGTAATAGCTCTCCAGGATCATTGAAGCTGGAGCCTTGTGTGTGCAAAACATGTGCCACTGGATTATGATCAGTGGTGGAGGAAGAGGAGTACGGGGGGAGCGCACCGCCCCCGGCAGTGTGATCCCGGTGGGGTGCCATCATGGCTTCCCCCCGCCTGCGCTCCAGGACGCTCACCACGCCCCTGTGGGCAGAGCGCCACACCCCTGGGACATATTAATAAATTATTTTTGTAGTGTTTGTTTGAGATGCATCTGTTTCTTTGTTATTGGCCACGTTGAACATGATTTTGTTGTGTATAGGAGGCATACAAATAAAATGAATGAATGATGAATGGATGAACAGTATCTGTGTTAGTATCTATGGGAGACTTGGAACCTGAAAGAGGACCATGCTTTCTGCTTTAAGTGCTATACATTTACCTGGAAATAAAGGTAACTGGTTTCAGTGAAATTTACTTCTCTCAAAGTGTGGTTTGGTTCTGAGGCTCAGAATTCAGTCCTGCATCCGATTATGAATTTTTCAGGCTTAAAGGGTGAAAAACTGCAGGTTCTCTGCCCTTGAATACTTTGCTTTTTTTCCTGGTGATGTAGTTATGCGAACCAGATGCTGCAAGGTATGCTCCCTTAAGTTCCTGCTACATAATAATCATTTTTTTTCAACATTATTTATAAAGTTTGTTTCCTGATCTGCCTTATTTGGCACACAACTCTTTGCAATATAACTGAATAGTGTAGATTCTATTGCAACTCCTTTAGTTACAGCGCATGATAATTAACAACACAAGAGACAAATAAAGATTTGGTTCAACAGCATGCTGCATACTGTCTTGTTGTTACTATATTATCTGTTTTGGCAGACCCATTGTTTAAATTTGGCTGTGGGTAGTGTTTATGTATCTTTGATTCCATCTATTAGGATGAATGTTTGAGAAATACTTACAACCACATTTAGCTATTTCTTTACACATTTTTATCTACCATATGTCTCATTCTGACTGTACACTCCAGAATGGTATTTCTAGCCAATTCTTTAAAAGACTTGGCTTTGATAAATAGAATAAATGAAACAAAAGGCATAAAACGTTTTGCTGAAATCAAAGCATTCAAACAGCTTGGTCAGTTGGTTTGTGAACAGCAACAATAAATAACCATGTGGACACAAAAATTTTTTCCAGCGATTTCTGATCTTGTATTCATGGTTTCTAAGTCATGTAGAAGTCAAAGTAACCCAAAGAGCCCCTGGCCCCATATCTATGAATCAAAGCCGTATGCAACCAGGAAGCCCTTTAAAAGCTACTCTTCAGAAGAACATACCCATCATATTATATATATGCATTGTCAAATGGTAAAGTACTGGAAAACAAGCCACATCATTTTAAATGAGGTGTTCTAATTTAATCTTAGTTTTTGCTATGCAGGTTTTCCCATACAAAGTCTTATGCCTTTCCAAAAAAGATTCAAGAATGCAATGAAACACAACAAGTAATAAATAATGTTATGGTTAGCAAAGCATTGGAATCTTCAGAAAAAATGTTATGAACATCTGTCTTCTGTAAGGGGGAAAAACAATGAAACAGCAAATTAGTGTGAAATGACTTCATCTAGAAGCAGTATTATTAATAAACTAGAGCTGACAGAATAATCTTCTTGTAACACCTTAAATACTAATAACATAATAAATTATCTGTATAAATGGAATATTTTGTTTGCAATCAGTATCAATCTGTTGCATTGATCCACAAAGTTAATAAAAGGTTCAGTACTAAATTACAGCACCTCAGCATGTAACCTAATGAAGAACTGTTTCAAAATGGTTTAAAATAAATCACACGCACTTTACCTGTCCTTTATAATGTGACATAAGACTAAACAATTTCCACTATGGAAGACTGCAATCCTATTCCTTTTCCCTTCCTGCTGAATTCAGTGGAACTTAATTCTGAATGTATATGCATAGGAAAGCACAGTAAAGAACTTAAAAAAGTTAGAAACAGGATCTGCCAGCAATTAAAGTGTGTTACAGTTATCTGTTAAAGTAATGTTTTTTATTGAATATTGTTAACCAAACTGTCCAATTAAGACAATCCAAGCCTCCTCCAGACAACAATAGGATGTGACAGCCTGGTGGAGCCACCACCTCGTTCACAGCCCCATTGCTCATGTCAGCCAGGTTGGAAGCTTGGGGAAGGCAAACCACTGTGTCTGCCTGGAGGTGGTGCAGTAATTTGGGATCCAGCTTACTTGTCCCTTTGGTGGGCAGAATGGGGAGCTCTGTACCAGTGGAGTGATGCTGTCATCACTTTGTGGGTGAAGGTTGGAGGACTGGGTAGAGAAACACCTCCAGGCAATGCAAACCCCTCCAGTATGGTGCAAAAGGGTGGATCACAGATGAAAATATCAAATTTTGCCTTAGTAGTTGTCTGATCTATCATTGTATAGCATAAGCCTTTCTTAACCTGCAGAAATTATCTTACCTTTAATTGCAAGCTACATTATTTTACTTTTAAAATGTTATGTACTATTCATAGTTTTCAGACCATGAAAAACTTTTTTCTAAAAAACCAGGATGACGCTTGAACATCAGGAAATGGGACTGGAATATATGGAACTGAGTATTTTTAAAGGAAGACATAACAAGCAAATAGGTAAAGATAAAGGGACCCCTGACCATTAGGTCCAGTCGTGGCCAACTCTGGGGTTGCGGCGCTCATCTCACTTTATTGGCCGAGGGATATAATTTAGTCATGTGGCCAGCATGACTAAGCCCCTTCTGGCAAACCAGAGCAGCGCACAGAAACGCCGTTTACCTTCCTGCCGGAGCAGTACCTATTTATCTACTTGCACTTTGACATGCTTTCGAACTGCTAGGTTGGCAGGAGCAGGGACCAAGCAACGGGAGCTCACTCCGTTGCGGGGATTTGAACTGCCGACCTTCTGATCGGCAAGTCCTAGGTTCTGTGGTTTAACCCACAGTGCCACCCGCATCCATAACAAGCAAATAAGTATGTACTATTACATGATTAAGATCTGTTGGAACCCTTGGGGAGAAATCCATCATATTGGACCAGAGAAAGACTATTTTGGACACTTAATGACAATAGTACCATAGAATTGTAGAGTTGGAAGGTACCCCCATCTAGTCCAACCCCCTGCAATGCAGGAATCTCAGCTGAAGCATCCCTGACAGATGGTCATCTACTCTGCTTCAAAACTCCAAGGAAGGAGAGTCTATAACCTCCCAAGCGAGACTGTTCCACTGTCAAATAGCTCTTCAGTAATAATTGAAGAGTTACTTTTGGACTTTTTGAGTGGAAAAGGATGCCCAGCAGATTGAGAAAAAGTTAGACACTAACATAGCTAGAGTTTTCTGGAGTGCACACTTTGAATATAATTAATTGGCATATCCTATTTCACTTCTTTTTTATTTCTTATCTTCTTTTTCTATGATCTTAATTTTTTTCCTTTCTCTCTATATTTATGCTTTGTTTTTTTGAAGTTTGCTTTCGTGGATTAACGAAGATACACACAGGAAGATCAAGGGCCCTGTGTGAGAGGCATGGTAGAGAGGATCTCCCAGGGTGGGAAGCTGGAGGAAGAGGAGGAAGCTCACAGATGAGAGCTGGGAGGATTCACTTTTCTGTGTGTGGAATAAGGATTAAGATATAATTGTGACAAAAGGCCTAGTGCTTATTCTCTCTTCTTTATACTCTCCTCTTTCTTTTTCTTTATTCTCTGCTAATTCTTGCTTCTTTCCTATTTATCTTCTTTAGACCAGTTTGACTTTTATTGTCTCTTACACTGAAAATTCTTAATAGAAATGAAAGAAAGAAAGAAAGAAAGAAAGAAAACAATGTAATGTTTACTGGCAACTAAAGTCTGTATTCTCTGTTGTTGTTTAGTCATTTAGTCGTGTCCGACTCTTCGTGACCCCATGGACCAGAGCATGCCAGGCACTCCTGTCTTCCACCACCTCCCGCAGTTTGGTCAAACTCATGCTGGTAGCTTCTCTACCCATGCTTATTAGCTTGCAATCCAAGGTCTAGACCCTGTACCTATAGTGATTCTATGAACTTTGTCAAGGAAGGAAAGGGAGAAAAGGTGGAGCTCATGAGGCTATTGTAACTTCCTATGCCACTTGCTAAGGGCTGCTAGACTCCTAATACAGGCATAAACTCAATCCCAACCAGGGACCACAGGAAGAATACTTTTTCCCTATTCTAGGCCAGCACTGCCCACTTGCCACACACAGGATGACTCTATGGCTATTACAGAGAAAGTTTCTGTTTGTGCCATGACTGCTACAGATGTTAGATAAACCAGATACAGGAAGGGAAAACAATATAATTTAGAGATTATCCTTACATATAATCTAGTATAGGTGCAGCCAATGATGTTGAACTACAACTCTCTCATCCCTGCCTACTGGCCACTGGGGACTGGGAATTGTACCACAACATTCAACAACATATGGGGGGCACTAGATTGGCTACTTGTATCCTAATAAAATGCTTAAAAGAAAGCTGTTCATATTTTATATGCTATGATTTACTAGTAATAGCTAAAACAAAGCCTATCTCTCTCTCTCGAACACACATTTCTCCAATACTTATGGAAATTTAAGATAAAAATAAGCATTAAAGTAAACTGTAGACATGAATAATAGTCACAACTGTTTCTGTATTTCAGGCTTCTATAGAGACTGATGTACCATGTAACGAAGCAAAATCTGATTCTCCTCATGTCAAACCTACAACAGAACTGTTTGCCTTATTCACCACATATTGCCTACTATGTCAAACTTTGTCCCTCAAAGAAAAATCTAAAAGTTTACTTTTGTTGCTACTTAATGTCACTCTTAATTAGAAATAAGTAATTGCATGCCCGATATAAGATTTTATTTCTTACTTCAAAGAAGCTACCTAGAATTGTGCGGTGTCTTTACTTTGAAGAAAATGTCTTTTATCACTTATTTTAGTACAACACATTAAAATCAAATATCTCCTGTAGCAAAATGATTCAAGTCTCTGGAACTCAAATAATTTTCTAATAAAAAATGCATGAGACAAATAAATGCACTTTATGTTCCACAAGAAAAGGCAGTTTCAACAGGCTAATGCTCAGAGAAAATTCATTTTATCAACCAGCCATTTCATTCTGTGGTGCTGTTACAAGCTCTTTCCTGTTGCTAGGCAACCATAATTCATAGTACCTTTTAATGGATACTCTGCTTCTGCTGAGAACATTAAGGTGAAGAGAATAAATGCCTTGGGTGAATCTTGAAATCTTTCATTATGCATGTCATTCTATTTTTGTAATGCTATAATGCTGAAATGTTTCTGTGGCAGGCAACTGAGTTGTGGTAATTGCATATTCCACTCATATATGTTTTGTAAGCAGAGCAGCACGTACTTGTCTAAAATGAGGTATTTCAAACGTGATTGAAATGGGACTTTTCTACTACTAAGGGTAGTAAATAAGCCCCCACAAAAGGGGAGGGGAGAGTATGTCTAGAGTAAGTCTTCAAATTTCCAGTAAGGATCATATAACATAAACTGAAAATAATCAGAAGCTTAGGATTTATTACAAGGGTGCAAGAAAGTACAAAATACAACACGTAAACACAAAACTATTCTACTGTACTTGGCTGTTTGGTCATTTCTCTCTCTTCTTGTGTCTCTTTCCTGCCTAGATTTAGTATTGCTCAGACTAATAAATGGTACAGTAAGATCAGCCATATCATTGCCTATTTGGACCCGTATAAATTTGTCAGATTCAAAGCCAGGATCCAAAGATCTGTTCATCTAGTTCACAGCACATTGATGCATGCTAAACAGCTTTGTGATGTGGCAACGAGGATTGGGTAGTTGTTGTTTAAAGAAAAAGGTGAAGCCAAGAATCCTAGTGACTAAACTCAAGGCCTTTCATAAGCCTAAAGTAGCTTTATAGAACCTGGTTTATAGAACATACCGGCTTGTCTGGGCAGTGGATAATGACTGAAAGTGAATACGGAAAATATTTCCAGCTCAGATACATGGAGCTGCCTCATACCAAATTGCTGGTTTATTAGCTTCGTACACAGACTGACAATGGCTTTTGAGTCCTTCCCACTTAAACATGGAGATGTCAGGGACTGAACCTGGGGCCTTCTCTATCACTGAGTCATAAAATCATAGAACTGTAGAGTTGAAAGGGACCTCCAAGGGTCATCTAGTCCAACCCCCTTACAATGCAGGAATCTCAGCTAGAGCAAAGTCCTTTTCCTTATTCCTCAATGCTCCAATCTGTGGGTCTTGGGTTAATAGAACCAACAGGAACAGGTAGTCCAAGCAAAGTCAATAAGCTATATTGGGAGTTGTCAGGGTTGCAAAGTTGGAAGTCTTTGGTTGTGTTTATGTTTGGTTGCCCATATCAAAACTGCTGCCTGCCACATCTCCCTGTCTGTATAGTAGTCTAAGGGAACCAGCGCTGCATCTGCAGCCCTGCCATTCACACGTGGATGGCAGGACAACCAGGCCTGATGTTGTTGTGCAGCAACAGTGGGACCAGCTTTGGATCGAGTGGATCCTGCACTGGCTCTCATAACACCCTTTCTACTTGCGCCTGCCAGTGAGGAACTGGTCAGTGGGTCTGCCATCCATTTGCCAGGAGGTCAGCTGAGCCAGGAGAGTTGGGCAGAAGTACTCCTCTGCCTAATCCACCCCCCAGACTTGTTGGGATGGTGGTGGTTGGATCACCATGTTAAGCTCTACACAACTAGGCTGGCAATTGGACACACATTGATATGTTTGTGCTGGGACCTTTTTGGAGCAACAGTGTCTTCCCCTCTATGACATGTTTCCATGCATTCTTTAGCTCTGACTATTGGCTTGTTCCCTTTCCTCTGGAATCCCTGGTGCAACTCCTGCTCCTGGTTTGTAGCTCCTGGCTGAACTTTGAGTGTTGTGTATGGCTCTGTTATGGCATAAGCACATGCAACATGAGCCATAGTCTCCCTGGTGACCTGTGATTCAATGGAACTGCCAACACTTCATTTCAGATCTCCTTTCACCAAGGAGTAGTAACTAGTTACCCTTTCACGAGCTATTTTATGCCTTAACATTGCAGGTCCTATTACATGACCCATGGTGAAAGTAAAGCCAGAGAAAGCAGGGCACATAAATTAAATACCTGCCTTCATTTTAATTCTTTTTATATATGCTAAAAGCAAACAACAGGTGGCTCATCTTGCCAAACATTACGGCTGTACCATAGATCATTTAAATACGCCTCAAAATCATGAATCTTGCAGAATGGGATGACTTGACATGTTGTTTTCAGTCTCCATTCTCCATCTGTACATTGTGGGAGCTTGCTTGATGAGAATGCTTGTTTGAACTGGATGAAATAAAATAAATGACCAGGATCCGAAGAACTGAGCAACTACCTCTATATGCTGAAGAATGAACTACAGGCAACTCCCCATTTACACAGGAGTTACCTTCCAAGGCACCATGTGTTTAAGTGAAATTGCATATATTTCGAGCACCATTGAAAATATCTGCAAACACTCCATTCTGCCCCTGCCACTCCCTGCCTTTGCCCTACTCCACCCCCTTTTCAGATGTTTTTGTGACTTTTTGGGTCACTTCTGGGTTTGGTGTGATGCACATATGCATAGTCATGCACATATTGAAGACACATAAATAGGGGGTTGCCTGTATTTGCTAGATAGTTTTAATTGATGATGATGATGATGATGATGATGATGATTACTGATCCCGGGACTTCCTATGGGAAGCTAGCAGGATATTTGTGCAACAGCAATCTCCCTACTTTGCTCCTCAGCAATTAGTATTCAAAGGCACAGTGTTTAGTGCTGGTCTTTCATAGGTAGCAGTTCCCCATCAAATGAATGCAGAGGCCAGGGGAAAGAAGGCACAAAGAAGCTGAAGCTGGCGAAAAGACTAACCAGGTTAAGGATGCAGACCAACGAATAAAGCATGTGTGGCTAAAGCATGTGTGAATTCTAGATTTTCCTCCCTTGATGTACCCACTCAGAATTAAGATTGAAATGCCATTCCAGTTGGCTTCTACATGTGGAATCATGGGGTACCATCTTATTCTTCACCCCAGGCAGCAAAATGTATTATACTAGGCCTGCTCTCTCTTCTTCCCACATATACTAACTTTTCTTAAGAAATGTATGTGGTGATCCAGAAATGAGATGTCTATATCAGTACTTTGGATCAAATTCTCCACTGTAGAGTCTCTATAACACAAACCCACAGAAAAAAATAGGTTTGTATTTATTCAGAAGGCAGGATATATAGAGCAACAACTCAATCAGTTCTTTTCTATAAACAACATCAGTAAAGAACAGGAATATAAGTGAAAAGGGGAACCCAGCAAGAGACATTGCCTTAGCATTTCTGAAATGTGAGCTCTCTTGCTTAGTGTGTGTGTGTGTGTGTGTGTGTGTGTGTGTGTGTGTGTATTCTCCAAAGTATCCTTCACTGAGTGATATTAAATGATTTCCTAAGTTGAGCCCTAACTGCAATTTTTTCCTTTCAAAGAATCCTATTACTCTTGAGTGAAACAGATTTAATAGCAAATTGGATAGAACCTACTATTTGCAAAATAAATCCAGAACATTAATTCTACATCAAGAGAATTCAACATTTCATTTCGTTTGTTTTGCATGTTCCACTGTAAGGGTCAAAAGGATCTAATGTAGACATGCTATATTTTCAAGTGCATTGTGAGGCAGGCAGAGAGGGAGAGAGACAGGATGCTCAATATCATTTATCAAAGAATGAAAAGAGCAGCAAACAGAGACCCATCCAGTGGAAGGTCACAGCCAATAACATTTCTGCAAATAGAAAGGGGCTGCAGAAGCATCAAATGCAAATTACTGTTTGCTGGAGAATTTTAATGGAGTTCTACGTCACATTATAAAATGTTTAATTGTAACCCCCTTTTTAATAACACCATCTGATTAAATGAAAAGATGCCCTGCTGATGGCAATTACAATCTGTCAAATAGCATATTTATTTACAGTTTAGTTTCTAAAGCTGCAAGATAAAAAGGGAACTCTCTTCAGCTTGTCAACGAACTATAATTATTGTGTATCCTTCTGTCAGTTTGCTACATAAAACTTTTGGTCCTAAAATGGATCTAATTATATCTACAGCAACAATTTTATAAATGTTTGGTTTCTCTTTTCCTTCAACCTCTATGGAATCTCTGTTAAGAGGGGAATAAAGCACCATATTGCATTAACATCAGGCATTTCTTAGATTATTTCATGATATTTCGCAGCAAGCTTTGGGAGAGACAATCGGATGGGTGTGGGTTTTTTCAGTTTTAAAAAACTGAAGAGATTTTGCATCTACATATTCTTCCTAATATTGCTGCTTGAATGAAGTCAATATTATCTAGGCAGTATCATCTCATATTACCCAGTTGTACTCCTCCATTACTGAATGAGAAACTGTGAGTGTGTATATACCTGCACATGCGTGTATTTTTGAGGAGGCAACTTTGTTCATTACTTTTTGGTGGGTTTAATATGTGTGTGTGTGTGTGTGTGTGTGTGTGTATAGACTTTCTATGGACTCTCATGAGGAGGGACATCGGTATTTTCTTTTTTCATATAGTGTTATCTCAGCATAGAGAAATAGCTTCCGAATCAAGCCATCTGGGGTAGACAGTTAAACTGGGAATGTGCATTATATATAGAAAATGCCTTTTGTATCATTTGGTGGTTTTGGTAGTATTTTTAGGGTGCAGTCCTATACACCCTTATCTCTAAACACACTTATCTGGAGATATATTCCACTGAAATCAGTTGAGCTTCATTCAGAATAGATATGTATAGGGTTGTGCCATTGGGCAGAAATTAAGTCTAAGTATGGTGATTGAATTCTCTCTAACATGTTATTCACATTATCCTTGTGCAACTATTTTTTTGCTCCCTCTGTCTACGGTGTACCCACTCTGTTAGAGTTTAGACTATAAGCTTTGTGTGTGCAACTCAGTAATGTTCTAGTTCTGTAAGAATGCACAGATTATCAGTGGGTCACAGCAAGTTCTGCATGTGGGAAATTGCAGTCAAACATAACTATGTATGAGTACTAGTTAGTGTATGATGGGGTTAGGACAAAAAAGCTAGATACCTAGATTTGGTTAGGTCACATGCCCTCTTCTCTGATGAGGCAGGAAGCGAAGCCTTCTCTTCCTGTTCCTTCTCTCTCCTCACTGTTTCAATGATGTGTCTAAGCAAGATCCAAGCTTAGATCACTTGTTTGAAACTATCTTTATTTTCTACCCAAGCATATTCTGCCTGTGTTCTCTTTGCTGCTGCTTGGATAAATGCATTAATCTGACCTTTGGAATGTTTTGTAAGTAAAGCTTTTAAAACTTATTTTACAGTGTGTGGTCCTGTTCATGCTAAGAGGGGTAGAAAGAGGGGAGTGCTGTTTGCAAGAAGACTAAATGAGATAAAAGTGTCTAACAAACTGTATTCCTAATGTTATACTTCTGCTTGACTTTAAACTCTGCTACTGGGTGATCTCCCCTGCTGCAGAGTTCAGCCCTGTGTTTAGCCCTGTGTTTTGAATCTAGGCACACAGCTGATTGTTTTGTTATTTACCCCACACATTTGGGTCACAGGGTTTCTGTTTTCTCTCACACTGCGAGCCCTGGCTTTCAGGATGACACAGCAATCAAATGTAATCAGCCAACACTAGGCGAAGGTATAAAGCACTCAGAGTTCAGCTCACACTTGTGTGACACACAGATTCGCTTCACATGAAGTGGTGGAAAATGGAGAGAGAGAGAGATGGTCAGAAGTTTCTGATGTGTTAAAGGGAAAGTGGTACTGAGAAGGGAGGAAGTTAAAAATCCTTCTGAGTACATGCAAGCTGAGATCCACAAGTAACTTGAGCTTAGCTCAAACTATAAAAAATGTTGCTGTCATTACAGACAGCTGGCATTTCTTACATAAGGTTCACTACCACCAGTTACAAAAAAATAAACATGTTACATGATACAGAAAAATAAAGTAGAGGTGTTCCATTTCCTCCAGTGTTTTGTAAGATGCTTTCTTTAGTCCTCTCATGAAAATAAAAAATAGGCTTCAGCTATTGGTGCAGAAATGTTATATAACAGTTTGCAGCCTTTATTGCAGCCAATATGATGGAATGCTAATGCTGTGATATTGAGTTTTTGTATGAAGAAACTGAACCCCTATAATATTTATTTTATTTTAAATAAATGATTTCGTTATTCTGAATCTGGTAACTTTATCTGATCTATGGTGTTCTATAGATTTTAAAAAAATCAAATAACATTCTGACATATTGAAAATTTTATATAAAATAAATTAATGCAAACATTTAAGAATATTTCAGAAATGGAAACAACAATGGTCCTCTTTGAAAGTGGTATTATTCAATATGTCATTCTTTCTTGTAAGCAGCAAATTGGAAATGCTACAGTGAAAGCATTTGAATGTATTGATATGCTGCATTTGCTACAAACTTATAGAAACATTTCTACTTTAAGTTTCATGTGTCCTCTGTTCTACCTATTGATGTAATCATTGTCAAAACACTTGTTCAGTAGCCTTTAGAATGCAAAGGGAGCTTTGAATATATGCTAAGCTAGATAATAAACCTGCATTATCCCAGCTTTTGTTGCTAGTACAAAAAAGAGCATTTCAGAAATAAATCCATCACTTTTACTGCCTTTTACTGTCTTTTTTCACTTTAAACTTCACAATTTAAAAATTTAAACCACTCAGATAAAGTGAAATCCATCTTATCTTTTCCTTCTTTAGTTTCCAAAATATGTCATAATGTTGAAAGAATATGTGCTCTATTTTAACTGCCATGCAGATAATAGACCTTTAAAAGAACATAGATGTTCTTTGGTACAAAAAAAAAAAATTAACCTTGGTTTCTTACTTTACAATAAAAAAAAACCCCAAACCAACCTTTTCCAAAACAACCATTGTCAGTGAATGAGGTCTTATCTCAATACAATCTAGTAAGTGCTATATTGAATTGCTTTGGACTGATGAGCTCCCAAGAACGAGCTCAGACTGCTAAAGAAAAAGGAAAGGTGTGATGGATGATGGATTCGGGACCTAGGCGGGGGAAATGAGGTTTAGTTTTAGGCAGCATAAAAGACTTTTAAGATATAGAAGGAGCACTTGCTGAAGAGGTCAGCTAGGTCATTGGGGACTGTAAAGAAAAAGTGTGGAAGAAAAAAATTTCCGCCACAAGTTTGGCCAGGATACAAGAAAAAGAGTAGTGACAGAATTGGGGCTATAATAGTTATTATGACTCAGTAGTTGACAGCTAATTGCCTACTTCATCTCTGGATTCCCCCACCCCGCATAATTAATCACATGATGTGGGGCACACAAACCACTTGAATGGCAATGCTCATCAACTTTGGGGGGGGGGGGTGTTGCTCAATTATTTTATTGGGGGGGGGGCAAAGGAACCTTGGCCCCTAGGAGTTGGCTCCATACAGTTGCTTGTGTGAATCACTGATGATTCTGCCTGTACCCTTTCCCGTAATATCTGTCATTAGTTCCAGGGGGCTAGTCCCTATCTCCACTGCTTGATTCCTGCCTGGATGACATTCTCGTTGATGTCCACTGGCCGAGACTGAGGTTTTAGCTTTCTGAGAAGTGTTAAGGAAGGGCTCTGATGAACACAGAGAAAGAATGAATTAAACAAAGATTTTGCTGTTCTACATTTTATTTATTGTGCACCGCCTAGAGATTGCTTTAATATGAATGATTTTATCCATTTCCTAAAATAAATAAATACCCTGTGATGAAATAACGATGATCACACATAATTTAAGGGGAAACAAACTATTTGAGTCTTATTAAATCATTTTTCTCCCCTTGAGTTTTGAGTTTCTCTTTGCCTGTCCTACTTTAAGATCTCAAAAGAAGGTTGGCTACTTGCATCCCTTGGCCTCGCTCTCCTTTCCCTTGCTCCAGTTGCTCAGTGCAATGATCTATAAGCTCTCAAAGTTCTATTGTTCCCATTTCTTTGCAAGAATCAGATATGAAGCTTCAATACATAAGGGAACACTCAGCTTCCAAACTCTAACTTCAGTACAGAAGGGGTCACATCCATGAAGCACTGCTGGAGCACTTTGTTGAAGTGCTAGATGCTTACCCTTACCTTCTCTGGGTAGTTATACTTTTTTATTGTTAAGACCCTCCATATCATTCAGATCGCTTTCCTTTATGTAAAGCTGGGATAGTTTATTTTATCTGTAAGTTGAAACTGAAGCAAATTTGAAGTAGTTCCCAAAATTACTAAAAATAACCTTTCACCCAGTAGAATAGAAGGACTATGGTCAAGCTCTGACCTCAAAAGAGAACAGAAAATTCAATGGACTGTCTAGTCCTCAACTATTTTCCAACACTGGAATGAACAAAACGTGTGATAATAAGAAGCAAGAAAAAGCAGGGCCAGCTGTGGATTTTTTGCCATGGGTACAAATGTGATCTACGGTTTTCTACTCTAGATAACTACTTTGGACCATATCCAGTCAAACTGAAAGAACTCTACTTGTGTCTCAATGTAGGTTTAAATCTAAGCAGGTGTTGTAACCAAAAATTTTACAAGCCTGGTTTGGAAACTATGAATATTTCCAGCTCACAATGCTTAGCTTAATTATAAATCAAATACATTTACCTTCAAAGGTTCCACTATGAAGCCTAAACCAGGGTTTCCCCTCCCTCTCTCCCTTGTGTTACAGGTACCAGGAAGCCTAAGGAATAGCTCTCTACCATATACCCAGTATATTTGAGGGAAGGAGTGGGAGGCCTGATATTTGGGCCTGATTCTGCTCATCAGGAGAGCAACACACCCTAAATGTTTCTGGACTCAGGAAGAGAAACAAATATTTTCTGATTCTTGGGGGTGGGGGCAGTTTTGTTTGCCGAGTCTAATTCTTAATTGAATCAAGAAGAGTTCACCAGCCACTAGCTCAAACCATTGCATATCAGACATATCTATCAAGAAAGCTACATATGCAAACCACGAAACAGTACTAGATGCTTAAATTCAATTACAGAAGGATATAAGGGCACTTGAAACATGCTTTGAAAAATATGTAGATAAAAGTCTTACCACCGACAGTGAATTTGAAAGCAGTGTTCCATCTTGGCCAAGCATATTGGAGACTGTGATTTCAGGTAGGTCCATGTTTTGTGGATGGAATGGAAGCAGGCCATTATGGTTGATCGGGTGACACAGTGAAGGATAACCAGATTCTGTGTCATTCAAATGTACCAGTGAATGGTCAGGTAATGAAGGTGGAGTGATGGGAGGTATGTTAAAATCTTCACTTTCTAGACTTGGGCCAGGAAAAGACTGTGGAAAGATGAAAAGCAGAGTTTCAGTTAAAATGTCATGAACCCTAAGCCTTAAGGGTAGGATAAAAGGCAGCAGATAAATAAAAACACCGCAAACTTTAAACAAAATGACCATATTCCCCTTTCAGATTCTATAGAGTATTAAGCAGTCATTTCTGCATTGGAAAAGAGACCATTTTAAATACCCTTACACTGTAATAAAGCAATTGCACTCCTGTGTGTAGAATAAAAATTGCCTCAAAGGCATAAAACCTTTGATATTTTCACAGCTTCCATTAGATAGAAAACCCCCTCCCCAGCAGCTGAATTCAAGGGCCCCATTACAATTTTCTCAGAGTCTTGATCAGGTTGAATACCTTTTTCATGGGAACTTTGGAAGTGGAATGCAATTTATGAAATTAACATTGGATCAAAAAGACCTCATAAGATTCCCTGCCACTCAAGAACAAAAATAATAGAAGTGTGTGTGGGGGGGGGGAGAGAAATATTGTGCTTCAATGTTGCTCTAAGGTGTACAGGAGAAGAATACATTCATTCAGCTATACTAGAAGAACCAAATTAACCTAGAAACAGAATGTAAGTCTGTTTCTGATACAGTTCCATGGGTATCTACAAGTAGATTCAGCTCTATGCACACTTGTGGATGCAAATGTTAACCTTACACACATATACACCAATCAAGACTGTTAGTGATATCAACTTGGCCACCCAGGACCTACAATCTGTGAACCGCCCTGAGATATTATGATGAAGGGTGGCATATAAATCAATCAATCAATCAATCAATCAAACAAACAAACAAACAAACAAACAGTTTTGGGAGTGAATCTGAATGGTGTTGAAAGTACTACCCATTGTCCACCCAACAAATTAATGGTGCTGACAGCTCCTACCATCTGTTTGGAGCAGTAGCTCTCATGACTTTCAGTCCAACAACAGAAACTGGATGCAGCCTGGATCCATGTACAAAGTACTGCTTCCATGCCTGCATTATCCAGCTGGATCAAGTTGTATTTTTGTAACCACATACCAAATTACAATTATTATTATTTTTACATACAAATTAATGTAAAGTCATCCACCTAAACGATAATTTGATTGCATAAGGTTTTTTTCTTTTCTTCCTGCTGGCTGGTGGTGTTAATTAGGCAGATGGTAAATATCCAACAGAAGCAGAGTAATAATTTTCTAAATAACAGTGAACCAAATGAATTATGCTGGATGTCAGCAAGACAAAGGAAAACTCGTTTCCTTTCTTCTTCAAGTGTTCAGAATTGTGCTGTGTTTGTTTTCATCAGCACAAAGTCTTGTAAGTGTATTCTTATAACTGAACTATTTTGTGAAAGGGGCTTGTGCATGAGAAAGAGAGTTGGGTAAGACAGCAGCCTTTGAAACTGTTGTAGAAGCATTAGAACACCTGAAATTATTCTCCCTTCAGGTGCATGTTTACTGAAGCACTGTTTAAAGCAGGCTTAATCAACCTCGGCCCTCCAGATGTTTTTGTCCTACAACTCCCATGATCCCTAGCTAGCAGAACCAGTGGCCAGGGATGATGGGAATTGTAGTCTCAAAACATCTGAAGGGTCAAGGTTGAGGAAGCCTGGTTTAAAGCCTCAGCAACGTGGCTTATAATGCTCAAGTATTCCTGAATGACTTGAAGAACATACACAAGTATAATTTGCTTTCTCCTGAATTCTATCTCCTTTCAATCTCTTGCTTCCAATCTGCCTACTTTGCTTCCATTCTGGCCATATTGTGGCCAAGGGGAAACTGCAATGGGCAATGCACTCTGATACCCCACAAAGGGTTGTTGTTATAATTGCTCTCCTTTACTAGCTTAGAAGGAAATATGACTTAGATCAGGGGTTAGCAAACTTTTTCACCAGGGGGCCGGTCCACTGTCCCTCGGACCTTGTGGGAGGCCAGACTATATTTTGGAGGCAAAAAAATTAACGAATTCCTATGCCACACAAATAACCCAGAGATGCATTTTAAGTAAAAGGGCACATTCTACTCATGTAAAAACATGCTGATTCCCGGACCGTCCGTGGGCCGGATTTAGAAGGCGATTGGGCAGGATCCAGCCTCTGGGCCTTAGTTTGCCTATGCATGACTTAGATGCTCTGAATGTTAACCCTGACCGGGGGGGGGGGCACCACTGAGCTACTCTCCAGAAATTTGTAAGCAATACTGTTCAAAGTTGCAATGGGAGAAGGAAAATACATGTGTGTCAAGTTCTGGAAATACATGTATTCCAATCAAAAAAGAAGAACTTCTTAGGAAGGGCCTCTCCTAACAGAAACTAGGATATCCATGAAAGACTGAGAATGCCTTGGGAAAGTCCAAGATCCCTACCTTCTGGACAAGGGAATTGGTCTTCTGTGGGTCAACAGGAGAAGCCCATCAATCCCACCTATAAGGTATAAGGTATGGCTTCAGTATAAGGTATGGCTGCCAGGTTTGACTCAGATACTTGCTAGTAAGTTTGGAGGTGAATCATCAGGATATTCTACTGAAAATCTGTTATACATGCCTTGGATGACTGAGTGGCTTGGAGATTCTAACCCAAGTACCCCTTTGCCAAACATATAATGTTTGCTTCTTACTGAAAAAACAGCAGGGAAGCACAAGGAATTCTTAGCAACTTGTGCTGTATATCAAGGTGAATGAGCAAAAAGACAACCTTAACATGGTGTCTTTTTTAGAGCTGCCTTATGGCAATGTAGAACAAATTAAACCACAAGTTTTAATGCTCTCAGCAAGCTACCTGTGACTAACTCACCTTCACCTTGTTACATGTCACACAGGGCTGGATCCTGAGAATGAGACTGATTATTGGAATGTAGAAAATGAGGGGTATAACCTATTCAAAAGGAATAGGCCAAACAGGAAGGGAGGAGAAGCAGCATTGTATGTAAAGAATATGAGGATATCCATGATTTGAGGAATAGAGGGCAGGTTAAGAGCATCTGCGTAATACTTAAAGGAGAGTGAAATGATGGTGACTTCATTGTGGGAGTCTCACACGCTCACTTATTATATGAAAATCAATCTATGTTTTGCTAGAGATAGTTTAGACATAGTGGAACTGTGTTATAAATATTTCTCTAGCAACATAATAGTAAAGAAATGTACACTATGTGGAAACTAGCAAATTAGATCATTTCTATTTTTCCAACTCAGAGGGACGTGGGTGGCGCTGTGGGTAAAACCTCAGTGCCTAGGGCTTGCCAATCGTATGGTTGGCGGTTTGAATCCCCACGGCGGGGTAAGCTCCCGTCTTTCGGTCCCAGCTCCTGCCCACCTAGCAGTTCGAAAGCACCCCTAAGTGCAAGTAGATAAATAGGTACCGCTTTATAGCGGGAAGGTAAACGACGTTTCCGTGCGCTGCGCTGGTGCTGGCTCACCAGAGCAGCTTCGTCACGCTGGCCACGTGACCCGGAAGTGTCTCCGGACAGCGCTGGCTCCCGGCCTCTTAAGTGAGATGAGCGCACAACCCTAGAGTGGGACACGACTGGCCTGTACGGGCAGGGGTACCTTTACCTATTTTTCCAACTATGTCAATGAACTTATGAAAGCCAGAACCCCACATCCCACCACTAATTTAAAATACAACTGAGATGTGTCTGTGTATCTGCCTACAATATCAGGTCTTGTGACAGAACAGTATGCTATATCCTATAGGATCCAGTCATTCACATTCTAACAAATTATCAGGTTCCAGTATGTACTGAAGGTCAGCAATGTGAGTGAATTGCCTGACACAATACCAGCTAAGTGAGTCTAAACTATTGTCTCTTAAATGGACTGTAAAATATGCCCAGTAACACTTCATGGCAAAGCACAGAGCATGACTTAATAAGTGAAGCTAATATATAATAATTATAATGACATCCTGACTATCATCAAAGTATTTGAAAATGAAAAGATAGTAATTAAGTATAAATATATGCCACCTTTCTCCTTTGGGTTACATGGAAATGGCTTTGTTTCCTGATGCTTGTTCAGTGACTAATTCTAGCTTGAATTCAATCACTAAAATTTGACTGCTTTCCAGCAGTTGCGGTCCACCTCTCTTTCCCCACAAATCTATTAGACACGAATATTATTGACCATACTTTACAGAAAGAATGATGATCTTAGTGTGGTAGCAAAATGCAACCTAATCATTAGTAAGCTATTTAGCACCTTCATTGGGTCAAGCCTTGTAGCTTATGCCCAATTACACATGCTTACATCATAGTGACTTTAATGGAAATGAGTATTTTTGTAGCTAGGAATAGACTACTGTAGACATAATTTGTTAAAACAGAGGTAAAGCCACAACATGCATCTTTCTGAAAGTTATTGTATTGAAGAACCAAGCAGTGGTCAACATTTTTCAACTACACATAAAGAAACTAGGATAGCGTAGAACTAAAAAATCAGGGTTGGGGAATCTATGGCTCACCAGATGTTATTGGACTCCAGCTCCCATCAACATGGCCAATGGTCAGGGATGATAGGAGTTGTAGTCCAGCAACATCTAGAAGGTGACAGCTTCTCTTCCCCGATATAATACATTACTGTACAACACTTCTATCTACTTTATAAATCATCTTAACACTCAACAAAAATGATATGTCTAAGTCAATGATCCTGTAAAGAATTTCTTATATTTCTTTATTGAACAGACAACAGCAATAAGTCACAATCGTTTAAAAACACACACAATAAATTAAGTCAAGCAGAAGTCATCAAGAGCATATTGTTGCAGAAGGTACATTTTCCCTGTGAAGTGTTCATCAGTTTCTTTAATTCACATTAGATAAAGGGCAGTGCTTCAAGCAAAACATTATTTTTCCACTACAAGACCAGGAGAATGTTGACTGCTGCATAACTGATTTTTAAAGAGGCAAATTCAGAGTCCCCTAAAAGGAAATAGGTGTTTATTAATTAAACATGCCATTTGAATAGCTTCCCCAACTATTTTCATATAGGTAGTGACCCAACCTTAAACTGGTTCATCACAATTCTATGCATGCATATTTACAACTATGTCCCATTCAATTCAATGGGGGTTACTCCTCGTGTGTATAGGATTGCTGCTGGCAGCAAAAGGAAAAAGCCATGCCAACAGATAGAACCCCATTTCCATGGAAATTTAAGGCAGCTAAATGGCTGCAGATGCAATAATTTATTCACTGATTGTACTAGGTAATTAGTAACTGTTACTCAGAAAGTAACCAAGCAGCATTAGCTCCTTGTGGTCATTATTACAACCCTCACCATGCCCGCATCTTTTCAGTGTCTGATGAAATACCAGTATGGTCCTATTGCTGCATACGTGCGACCTCTCTCCAAACAGCGGAAAATGCACACTATTGACAAAGATACTAAAGGGCATGTTTGAGTCTTGTGGCACCTTAAAAACTACCAAATGTCTTAAGCAATATATACATATTAATATCAAATTTGTATCCATTTGCTCCTTTGTGCAGAGACTGGCCTGTTTGTCCAAGACAGAATGCAGAAGGACATTGCTGCCAGATGATGATATATATCACATTGGAAGATGAACGGGTGAATGAGTCCTTGAAGTTGTGGCTGACATTATTAGGTTCTGTAGTAGTTTTGCCCAAGCAGGTAAAAACAGTAATGACCATTGGGGAGCACTGGGCCCACAAAGCTGCCTCATAGCAGTAGTGTCACTGCCACACACCAAGACTGTGAGGACGGGGTGTGTGTGAGAGAGATTGGGGCAGTTTGACCTCACAGCCACTGTGCCCTGCCCCTCACTGTTCAGTATATGTCAGCAACGCAATGTCAGGTGATTAGATCTGTGGTCCTCCACACCAGCCACTCCTGGATACAGGGATAGAG